CTCGAGATGATGCCCTTCAGACACCACTCTCTTATTCTCAAGGTTAGAGCATGATTCAAAACCTCTTATCAAACTGGGTTCAAGTCCTTCACAAGCTTTGATGCCTTGCTCAGTTCTCAATGCTCTCTCAATGATATTCAATAATGAGTTTATTCTCTCACTTGAAGTTACAAACACAAATCCAGAGCTAGAGTGCAAGGCTTTCTGTGCCCAATACACTGCAACTGTGGTGGTCAGATACTTGTATTCTACTCATACAATACTGTATTTAAATACTCTACTGTGGTACTTACTAATACAATCCTACTATAGTGTCTTCAAAGCATGGGACTCAATGCCAGATTCTATGAGTATTATTCATGTGCATATTGCAGTTGCTATGCTTATTCTCTTCTGGGCTAAGACTGCCCATGGTTTTCTTGCTAGCTGATATCAGCTAGCTGGCCTAGTCAGGTCTGCTTGCTTTTTTATTTCCCCAGTAACACATTCCTGACAGTGGTAAACTGTTCTAGGCCCCTGAGGTTATCTTCCATGTCTGGAGTCAGCCATAATAGTTATGTTCTCTTTTCCAGTGTCTCAACATTCCCTCCAGCTCACAAAATGCACCACTTCTGGCCTGACATGCACCAATTAATTCATCCAATATGATATGTGTTATATCTTGGTATGATGTGGAGTCCCTCACTGTGTTAAGTGTGCTAAGACACTGTAAGTATGCATGTGAGTCTCTGAGCAGTATATGTGTTATTCATCTCTGAGGGTAGTATTCCTCCATCTATTCCTTTGTTGCCATCATTTTATTTCTCCATTCAGCACCCAGTTATTCAGATACCTTACTTTGGGTCTCAGTTCTCTGTTCTAAGGCATGTCCCATCAGTGCATCAATGACTGTGCATCCTTGATCAATGTGATCAGGATTGCTGATCATATTTTGATCATATTCTTTTTATCTTTAGCATGCCCTCTTGTAATGGTATTGGCACATTTAGGGCCAAGCACTGGGACCTCACATGCAGTCTAACCTCTCTGGTATTAGTCTGCTACTAGGCCATGCACTCTGCTCATTGTTACTTCAGTTTAGCCTTATGATGGCTAGGTTTCTGCATGCTCTTATCCTATTCTCAGTTACATGCTTACTGGACTGGAATGCAGTCCATGTATTCTCAATTTTTGCAATTTTACATATCTGAACATGGAGAGAGTGTGTCACTGTACTCTCACAGAAACAAGAGGGGAGGTGGTATCCAGTAGCATTCCTCTCCAAGGCCTTATTAGCCACAGAAAGAAACTACAAAATATATGACAAGAAACTGCTGGCCATCATGTTAGTACTAGCAGAATGGCATCATTATCTGATCAGGGTGGCACAGACATTCAAGGTCTGGATAGACCATCAAAACTTATGATATTTCTATCTTCTCCAAAAACTCAACTAATGACAAGCTCAATAGATAATAGAGGTTGCTGAGTATGACTACACTCTACACCACAAGGCAGAGATAGCCAATAAGAAGGCTGACCTTCTTAGCCAACAGGCTGATCATGACCAAGAAGAGAAAGACAATAGTGGGGTGGTACTGCTGAAACTGGAACACTTCCAGATGATGATAATGCTAACAGAGGAGAAGATTCACACCAAGATATAGAGTGCAACATGACAGCCAAGCTTATAGGATCAAAGGATCACAACATCACTAAACCATGAAAGGGGCATCATGAAGCATGATGACCTACTTTACTATGACAGATGCATTTATATTCCCCAGCAATCAACACTGCAGGGAGAAATTATTGCTATATCACATGACCATGCAACTGCCAGACACTCAGAAATCTCAAAGATAAAGGAATTAGTGTTGAAAGAGTATTGGTGGCTGAAACTAGGATAAGATGTTGACAAGTATATGAAGGGCTGTGAGACCTGCCAGAGGACTAAGTCTTCTATATAGGCCCAAGCAGTCCCACTTCACCCAAATGAGGTTCCTACAACCTCTTGGATGCATATCTCTGTTGATATGATCACCAAATTATCTGACTATAATGATTATAATGCAATTATTATTATCATCAACCAGTTCTCTAAAGTGATCATCCTGATCACCTGCACTACTGAGCTATCATCTGAGAGGTGGGCCAAAATCCTTAGAGACAAGATCTATTCTAAATATGGCATGCCACAGGTCATCATTTTAGACTGAAGATCACAATTCATCTCCAAATTCCTGGATAATCTATACCAGCTGCTCAGAATTCAAAGCAATGCATCTACTGCCTATCACCCTCAGACCAACAGGCAGACAGAGTGCATCAACCAAGAACTCAAAAAGTACTTATACATGTTCATCAACCACAGGCAAGATGACTGGATGGAATGGCTAACACTCATGAGTTTTCAGCACAACAACCATGTTCACTCAGCAACTGGGAAGACCCTCTTCTTCATCAACTACAGACAACATCCCAAAATTGCTGCTACCATATAATTCCACACATCCACACCAGCCTCCCTAGACTTCATTACTGAAATAGCAAAGATATATCTCAAAACATAAACTGCCCTTGATAAAGCTGCTGCCACTATGAAGATCCAGTATAACAAACACTATCATACAGTGCCTATCTATGCCATCAACAATAAAGTATGGCTCAACACCATTAACCTATATCTACCTCACTGCAAGAAGAAACTCACTGATAAATGCACTGGCCTCTTTCCTGTATTAGCAAAGATAGATGCCTCCACCTATAAACTCAGTCTTCCAACCTCATAGTGCATTCATGACACATTCAATGAATTGCTCTTAACCCCTATATGTTACCCCTGCCTTTCTAAATCAAGAATGACCACCACTACCACCACCCTCTGACCTCATTGATGATGAGGAGCACTATGAAATTAACCAAATCCTTGACTATAAATTATGCAAAGTCAAGGTATGAGAAGAGGGCATAACAATGACCATTGACCACTTGGTCAGTTGGAAAGGATACAGACCCAAGTTGAACCAATGGGTAAACAAGAAATGAATGAATGCAGACACAGCCATATATGACTATAAATTATTCTTAAATTAAGCCATTGGGATGATGGTCTTAAGAAGAGGGTAATATTATAGTTTTTCTCCCTTTTTCTCTTCTTTTACCTCTATTCATGCTTAGTCAGAGCACCTAGACCAGCACTTAGAACTGTGGGACAGTCTTAGTCAGCATAACAACCATTGTTCTGCAACATGTAGTGACACTCTGACAACAAGACAATCATTCTTTTGTAGGTAACCACAACATCTCAAGACAATGAGTACTATAGTATGAACACCTACAATTAGTAACATTATATTTATCTAAGAGATGAATAGTATATAAGTAGCATAGTTGATGCCATGTATCTCTAGTCTTGAACTATCCTTTATTCTATCATCCTATCTCAAGTCAACTAATATTGACCTTGAAGACACATGATCAGCATCTATAAATAGTTAACTCAGATGTGATTGTATAAACACAATACAGCATCTGTTTATCACATGGATATTATCATGTGTCAACTGGACCTAACAGAGAAGGCCAATGGATATTGACTGGATAAAGAAGGAGAAGTGTTTCAACTAGAGGGAGAAGAGACACTTGGCAAAGAATTTCCCAAAGAAGAAGAGGACATGTGAGGAGATAAATGCCCAAATTGAAAAGTTGCAGAAGAAGCAGATGCTATAGAAGAACCAAACAACAAGGAGACAAAAATTGAAGAGGTAAAAGATAAGACTGACAAGTGAGTGATTTCACTTATTCAGCCCAAGGACTAAATGATGCACCCCTAGTAGCTGCTGGTCAGACTTATTCCACATCTGTAGATACATGTAACTTAAATATGCATTCAAATATATCTGCTTCAACCTCAGCACCAGCTCCATCTAAAAAATTGCAAATACTAAAAAACCCAACTTGAACAGCTCAAATGCCTACAGGCCAAATAGAGAGGAAGACTCCCAAAATATCAACCTCAGGATGGCTCAAACCATTCAAAACTGAGTGGACTTGGTGCATGATCAAAAATGCCAAAACAGAAGAAGCCAAGATGGTATTCAAGAACTGGATACACAAAGCATGAGCCAAGAAAGTAGTTGAAGAGATGATAGAAGGAATGAGAAGGGCCAAATGAAGTCAAGTGCTTGAATAGCTTGATGAGCTGTGCAAGCTCAGACAATAAATCCAGTGACAAAAGACTCAGAGGTGAGACCTATTAGTTAAAACCCAGATTGAAACACTGGAAAGCTGTGCCATCTATGTAGCCACAGCCCTGATTGACAGTTGCTGTATGGGGAGTTCAATCAATCACAACTTCATCATCCAAAACCACCTTCCAACCAAAGCAACTGCTGCTCCCATTCCAGTTTATAATGCTGGCAGGACCCAAAACCAGGCCAGGTCAATCATGGAGTTTGTTGAGCTATGACTTGTCACTGGTGATCATGCTGAACAGATCAACTTCACCATACTGATCTGAGCTCCAAGGATCAAGTTTTGCCAACTGGGTTCTTTGTGACTGCAGCCAAGCCTGGTGACCTCAGGGGCCATGCAGCGCAAGCAGTTGCTGAGATGTATGGATGCGCGAAGTTATTGAAGTATGTCCTACATCTTCTGTTGTACTCACCACTCATTTTTCTTTAGGAAAGACTTTGCGCGGCGCCTTGACAAACGGGCACCATTGGATCTTCCTGATACTCCATCTCAATTCTGATGGTATTGGAGGGACATTTAAGCGATCCATCACAGTAAATCTTCCGGCCAGTGGCCTTCTTGGTGGCCCTCAAGAAGTCGCGAAGCCTATGGCGGACTTGGTCGCAGGTATTCTATCTTTCTGGGTGGGTTGATTCCTATTGTAGTTGATGCCTGTCATATATGGGACAGATCGAGCGTAGCTTCGACGACTTGGGATAGGATGACTGGTTCGAACTGGTACCAGAGCTCCACTCAGTGACGTCTGGGGAGTGAGTGTGGGTTCAAGGGACTACCTAATAAATTACAGTATGTAAGCATAAATGAGCAAGAATGTGACCACGAAGAAACGCGTAACAACAGCACGCTCACTAAGTAAGCGAGAAAACGAACCAAAGCACAATCTAGACAGATACAACGACGCCGTATGTTGATAAATCTAGATAAAGCCAGACACGCAGCGCTCCACCTCGGTAGAGACCTACCAACCGACAAACTTTTGTGGAAGGGCACCTACCATAAAGACTATACCAAATCGACCAGGAACTTCCTATCGATGACGATGCACGATGCTTACCAAGTCGGTTCCCGGTGGGAGGACAAGCCAGGATACAAACAACGGGAAACATGCGCAAGATGCACATCCTCTTCGAGTAATATTAATTGTTTCCGAGTAATAGGGATGTATAGACATGCTATGACACATTTCAATTGACAAAATACTGAATGGATCCTAAATTCCTCACCCTAATACGATCCACCGGAGATCTAATGGTAGCATTAGTATTAAGAAGAGGCGAGAACAAAAAACCGTACAGTAGCATCATTACTGGAAACATTTCCTTCCGAACCACCAGTTATCGTCAACTCATCGAAATCCCAGGTTCTATCGCGTCATATCATCAACACTCCTGCGAGAAGGCGACACAAACACAAAGCTCACCCAGAGCAGGCACCACAGTCGACGACCAATCGTTCAGCGTCGTCTCCAACCCTGCAGATAAGAAGAAACACATGAACACGCGACCGAAGGAATCCACAGCACGAGACTCACGCGATAGTAGTAGCGCTTCCAGTAAAGTTAATATCCCTATCAATGACATCAAACATGGTCTCAGATTCCTTGAATGAAGCTGACTCACGAAATGGGTCCGCCAGTTCCGGGAGTACCATCATTATCGGGGTACGACTGGGTGATCAGAACACCGTATTCGTCGATGCCGCTAAGGGTGTTACTTTAAAAACTAGGTTTTGGCTTTCTGCCAAGTCGTGAGAGATTGAGCAGTCCTCACCCAGAGTATGTGATACCGGACACCGAGGCATCTGTGGCCGTGGCATCAACCTTGATTCTGCGCATAGCGAGTGTCACTCAGGAATCGGGTACAACTGACAACGAAAGGCCTTACCTGAATCCGTACATAGAGTCGGTAACGGTGTTTCCAGAGATAGTAACGTCGGAGACGGTCGCGTCACTGGCAATAGAACCGATGGAGATACCATGCCCCCCAGAGCACTTGTTATTCTCAAACCTAATGGACGCAATGAGAAACCAGTTTGACAGATGGAATGACGTAGCGTACACGATAGTCGAGCCTGAGTTAATAGCAATACAATCGTCCTGGTTCTTCACGACCGAATTTTTGATAGTCACGTCGTCCGCGGAAACATCGAAACCCTGCAGACCATCGGTTTTTTTTTTCCGCAACAAGATCATTACCTCTACTCACATCGGTGTTGTGACCGAGGTCATCGGTATCACCGGCACTGTTGTCGACCTAGAAAGCACTTGTAAGCCTGATAGGATGCGCACAAGAAATATTAGAATACAGTAATACTGTCAAAGACGAGACCGTCACTGTTGCCGATGGAAATAGCCTGCGCGGGGGTATTCAAGACCTATTGTTCCCCGTTCAGCGGCATTCTGGAGGAAAGAGCGACTGGCTCACCGTGAAATCGGAGTATGTGCCGGAGCCTTTGAATCTAATGAAAGCATCAGACCACGAACGCCTCGATAAAACGAAAAGAACCTACTTCAAGAGGGGATGAGGCTTGTCGACACCACCGTCTGTGCCTTCACCATCCCAATAATCAGCGCCATTTCCCTGCGAGATGGGGTTAACTACCGCAGGGCAAGAAATGAGTTGACGCTGATCACATCAAATGTATATCCAGCGCCATTGAAAGTGATGTCGTCACCGTCGATGGTAAATAACGGGCCATCACCTGGTAATAAATTCAATAAGGACCTAACCAAAATGATTACTGCAGAAGATACGCACTGGTGGTTTTGGCGAAGGTGATATCGCCAGCCATGGTGATAGTTGCACCCGACATCGGCTAGTGTTGTGTATAAAATGACACATGTGTTAAAGGTAAAATCAGCCACGTACGGAGAGGCTCAAGGTACCTAGGAAGTATAGTCGTTAGCAAGGTCCTTCATAGAAGGGAGACATATACATACTTCCGCTAGCTACGGTGAAGGCCTCAATAGTGACAGTCGAACAGGTGGAGATGGACGACGCCGTGGAAACAGAAGAGATAGTACAGCTGGTGCGCTCCTCCAGCTCCCTAGTCGGAATAGCCGACACAAGCGCGAGCATGGCGGCAGCAAAGACGAATTGGTAGAAGGCGTGCCCGAACATCTTGTGCAAGATATAAAGGAGGGAAAGCAGACAACGAATGCTGCTTTGACCTCGACATGTACAGGCTTATATACCGGCGAGAGGGACTGTGCTGGATTAACCACGGAGGAAAACGGCAGTACAAATTCTAAGAGGAACGTGTGAGTTGTTTCAGTGCTAAAAAAAGGAGTAACGTAGAAACCATATTGACCCGGACTTAATAACTATTCAGAGCGGGAACCTCTTGATTACTCGCCAAAAATCCGTGTCGAGTGTCTAGAAGGTGATGTGGTCGTCGCCTGATGAATCTTTCGCCTATGCGTTCCTGATGACTCAAAGGTACAGGAAGGCATGCAAAAGTCCCTCCTGCGTAAGGTCCATAGCTTTGGCCGATACTCTAACTGTATGTTCAGTCGCTCTTGGATGGAGCATCTCCATCTTGTCTGTGAGTTTTCTCTTCCGGGTCGTCCCGATAATTAAAGGACGTGCTTTCTCTGTTAGAGAACGGCGGCAACTATTGCATCTAGATTTGAGCACGTCCTATATTTATCGTGGTACGAAACCGTTTGGTCCGACAAATGACCGATACTTGGGAGGGCCGGGGATATCGGTCACTGCAACGTTGAGATGACGCGTCATGCTGGGCCAAATGAGATCTATGATTATCAGTCACTGAAGACTGCGTTGCGTAGTATAAATAGAACCTACCGACTATCAGATGGCCGCCAGCTGCTCTCTGTAAAGAATGGCAGGACCAGCTGCGCAGCGCGATCTTACATAACGAGAAGCAGGGAGGGATGTAGAAGCCGGATAAAGGTCGCCAGACTCTGCCAACGTCGCGTGGGGACCTTGTGGCAGGGTCAGCTGGAAAGAGCTGTAAACGGAGGATTGACTCTACCACAGTTATGTTCCTCTTCAGAGAGACATTCCCCAAGTATTACAACGATCGCCAGCAATAGCAATGAACCATTTTTTGGACAGACGGGGTCGAACCATTCCTCATCTTCACCAGCTAGTCCCTTTGCCAGGCATCCTACCAACGTGGACCAAATGCGGGTGACAAAACTCTTGAATGCAGCCGAAATGTGTACGGAACGATATGTAAGGGTGGCGGTAATGATATTGTATGCGTTACGTATGGTTCCGGCAAGTACAAAGAGAGCCTGTAATGCCTGTCTCGTATGATGTTCGACACATTTAGGATATTGCTCACGGTTCAAGGTGAGCCTGTGACTGAGGCATCGATGGAGCTCGTAACTGGTGGTAGCGATGATTTGCAGCGAGGAAATGTCGCCCCCAGTCTCCTACAGGGACAGTGAGTGCCAAAATAGCGACAGACTTTCAAAACGCGCACCCTCCAATCCGTCTCTGCATCCAAACCGGATCTTATACCAACACAGAGGAAAGGTCTGCGGCGTATCCTCATGGGTTCCCTACAGCGATGAGAGGTGGGCCGTCCGCTATCCATGCGCATACAATTGGCTTCAGATTGGGTAGTGTGGGCGGTAGTGACTAGACCGGCGACCATTTTTCTGCAGCAGATGACACGAAAGTATCCTACGTTCGATATCCGGTGACGGGATCTTAAAAGAAGTCAGCGTCAGTGGATGACGAGATAAACGCCGCCTTACCCCGAATTCCATGCTGACTTTGTGGTGTTCCGAACGCGTTTCATCCAAGATAAACTGAGGTTCGACAAGGAGACGATGTTAATCAGTCGCCAAGGACCGTACAGAGGCGGAGCTGGATGATGGTGGTAAGAGGGAAAATGATCGGCCGACTTTCAGCTTCTTACCATCACCATCACTGCCCTTCTTCTTTCTTCCCGTCAACCAAGGGGCACCGACAGAGCTAGATGTGACGTGCTACCGATGTTAATTGCTGTTACGAGGAGCATTGAACAAGGAAATACGCCGGCACTTTAACTCAAAAAACTTTGCTCTGCTCTCTGCCGAGGTTCAGCTTGGACTCGGGAAAGCTATCATCGACGTTCGGAAGGAGCGATAGGCGCACATGCTAATGTATGAAAAGATCGTCAAAGGTGCGGATGATGCCTATGCTAAGCACGGCTCTGTGCTGATTCTCATTGTTCTCGTAGGCTCATCTCATCGGCTGTTGGTCTCAAAATGCCTCTATATCGCCAGAAAATACTCCTGGGTTCATGCAGGGCTCTAATCCCTTGAGGGGTCGGTAAATGGCTTAGGTTCGTTCCGCCGCCACTGGATCCGTCTTCCGTGCAGTGATTCTCTGACTGTTATGATTTTGCCAAGGATGATCATGGCCCCCAGTTCGTCTGTGGTCTGTACTCGTGTGGCCAGGCATGGATAGAGCTATGAGATCTCAAGGCTTTCTGTATGACTGATGGCGTTCCGATACACAGGCGGCGAGTGAACCCCCAGTTCGGATACAGCGCGTCCTGGCGTCTCAAACGTGCCAACTCGTCCGTTTTATGTCTAATTTGCATCTCATCAGAGTGTATAGAATTTAAAAGAGCGCAATCGTCGACTCCCACTACTTCAACTCCACCACCTTGCAGAGACCAAAATTGTGTGCCTTTCCTGTCTCAGAGCTCCTCCTGGTGACTAGAGTTGTCTGGACAAAAAATGCCCTGTCTTTGGCTACTCGTTAAAGCAAGTGATAATGGATAGAAGCACTCCCTTAAATGATAAATAATTTGTCGTCCTTCAGGATTTCGAAAATGTACTATTTCTGATTCTCCATGCTCAAGTTCCTTCAGAACGGCAAACTCTGCAGCTAACGACGATCGACGTAGCTCGCAAACTTCCCCAAGTGCACTCCAAACTCCGATATCTCGCCTTATATGTGGAGAAAATCACAGTTTGCTCACGTATTTCTCTTAGGACCTGGTCCGACGCAGCCTTAAATGACAGACCTACATTTTCATCGACAACTATACTGTTTCCATGGTCTCCTCCGGTAAGCGCCTTCATGTCCTCGAAAGTCCCGAAGAATGTCTACGGCTGCCATCTGCTTACACCCCTGCGATTCACACTGGCTTCATCTTTCGCACATACGAAGGCGCGGACCTGGATCCCCCATCCCGTAGTAATGAAGAAGTTTTCCTGTGGGGAGTTACTGCCGTGAATTTGTCCGATAGACTGTCGACCTAGTCGGCACTAGTGTTCTCGACGGATGATCGATGGGGTCTGAGAGCTCTGGGCGCGACTTTGATTTGGATTTGGAGATGGGGGTCGTGGCCTCGCTGAGGGTGCACTGCTGCGCTGCGACGAGTCTGATCCTGTAAAAATATAGTGTGTTTGATGCTCGAGGATCAGAGCATACATGCGTAACTATGTAGCCGGCGGATCATCCTTGCTCCTGAAGGCAACTTTGCGAATGGCAATGTGGCTCCTCACGATGGTTGCTCAAATGCGGTCGTCGAATCCAGAACAAAGGCCGACGATGTCGCAGCTTGTGGACACTGTCACTGAAATGCGACACAGTTGTCCGGCGGCGATATTGTCTGATTATATCGGTACTCAGCGGAGGGCGGTAGAGTGGTAGAAGTGGTAGAAATTGGCTGCATATCATAGACGGAATTGCCGACAATGAGCTTATTGCGTCATCAGCTAGAAATAACTTGGACCCGACTGATTCATCGCTTAAATCAGGCCGAGACTCGGATACACTCTTTGTGTAAAGCTTCTGGATTCCTGTGGATGAAGATATACTTTTCTTGTTATCTTGCCAGACGAACACTCAGTACCGCAAAAGCCTTTATTCTATCGTTGATTAGATGCTGCGCCATGTCCGACATGTACGATATCCAGATGTTCTCTGATACAGCTCGACAGAGACCACCGATTATGCCGTGGTCTCCGGATAGTTCGATTCAAGATCTCTGGTCAATTAATTGCTGGAAGCCTATTCAGATTGTTGTTGAATGTCTATGAGAATAAGGTCATACACAGATCGCAGGATGTTGCAAATGACTTGTTTAATGAGCCGCTTCAGATATCAGCTATCGTGCTGCATAGTTCTTCCAAGGTAATTACCACGTTTACGATGTCCAAAAGTCATCTGCAATATTGCACTGCTAATTTTAGTATCATAGCAGAAGACGAAACTAGAGCATAGTATTCTGGCGCGTCCATGACACTTCCGTTAACTTAATCAGCATACAAGAAATTGAGTAGGGTGAAATCGTGATTCGGTAAGAACAAACAAAGAGGACTACATAGGAAAGTATGGGACATAGCAGCTTCGATCAAAAGAAAGGTAAAAGCAAAGTTAGCGTGTTAAGTAGTTCCATGACTGGAGGCGTCTAGTTTAGGCGAGTGGTTAAAGGCGTCCCAGCAGGCCTACAAATACACTGTGAGCCCAGATCTACTTTGCTCGCTCACAACATCGACACTTACGCATCTCTACAATCGGTGATGGGGCAGCGAAAAGTCCGTTTATCGGAAAACTGAAGGATATAATAGCCCACTCCATTGATCTAGATGTTAGTCAACTTTCAGGTAGGTCAAACATGAGGTAGAGATGATGAGACTGACCATTGTGGTGAAGCGGTTTAGCCGTGTACCGACGTATACCTTACCATCGGTGTGGTTGTATACTTGAATTTCTGACATGAGGATGAGGGAGACGCTGCTCTGACTGGCTCTGTTTGAATGAAGAGACTGATGTGAGAGTAATAAGACGTCCTATGGTGGTATTTATATGTTTTCGGGCGGCATAACCATCCTCCAAAAGGATCCGAATGACCTCAATTTTTTATAAAAGTTTTGCAACGGAAGTTTCTAAATAATGGTTTTCACATTGGAACCTGTCATAGTGCCTCCTGTGACTTTCAAGGGTTGCGATAACTGAAGTGCCCGAGTCCGAGATAGACTACGCCATTGGGCTTGAGTGTTTTGGGCGCTTCAGTAATCGAACCCTATGATTGGAAGACTAGTTACCAATCGAACGAAGCGGGCTCAGTTATTTGCAGCCCGAGTTCGAATACCGAGTCTACGGCACTCCTACAATCACTATTCCCGGCCATCTCTGAAATTGAGATCTGAAGCAGCGCTTCAGTGTCAGCCTGCAGGCTCAGGGTCCCATCAGCGCTCGTCAGCTTGACAGTCGGAGGTCTGGCTCCTCCCGAAAAAAATACTTTAGTCTAACAGTCATGAATGACCCCAATGTCTGGCGGCTGGCAGTTCCGGAAGGAATTCACATCCAAGTGAGATCGGTTCAAGTTCGGTTCATCAATATCACATCAATCGAGTACAAGGCGGAGTTTTAATCCTTTACAGGTGCAAAGTTGACCAGTTCCATTCGTGACCATCTTTATTCACCACCTAGCCCATCCACACCATGACGCTGATCGAATGGCCCAAGACATTACACGAATGGCGCGAAAGATGCTGGAAGCCGGAGGGCAGTTGGCCATATGACCTCTGGAAGCGTGAGCCACTTCAAATATTCTTCCAAGAACACGGTTACACCTTGTGGGTAACTATGTATGAACGTGGCTTGGGGGACTGGGACCACCACCGAGTATCGCTTACTCCAGCAAGCGACGAACCTCGCCGACCCGACGGATATACTTTCTTGACTCGCTATGACTGTGAGCCCGGCATCGCCATTCGTGAACCGGACTTTGGCCAACTCGTACGTTTGAGTTTTTGTATTTTTTCAGTTCAGTCTGCTCATTACCAATCATGTAGAAAAACATCCATTGTGCTGCGCGCACCATACACAATCAGGACGTTGTCATTCGTCTAATCAGTATCGATGGCGACGCCACAGGAGACGAGCACTATAAAGCCATCCGGCGGCTCTGCAAAGGACAGACCGCTTTTCGAGGAGATAACTACACCCTTCCTCTCTTGAACGAACTTGAATTCAACGGACTCAGATTCGTCGTTTTCCCTCTGCTTTCTGACGGCTGGTACATTCCGTGGTTTTACAACGTGGACGAGATCCTGGACTATCTCGTACAGGTATTCAAGGTACGGTGTCCATCGAGACATTCTGTAGTTACCTGAATCCCGTTTTCTTTTTCCAGGGCGTCAAGTTCTGTCATGACAACTTGATTGCACATCTCGTACGCACTTTGACGTGGTGGTCTGTACTTTGCTGATGAAACCCTAGGATCTTGATAGTGATAATATTCTTTTCAACTTCCTAGGGCGTCGAAAGCGGCCTGCCGGGACTACAGAAACTGATGTCACTGGGCCATTTCGATCTCACTTCCCTATTCGATACTATATCAACGATTTCGAGACCGCAGTTTGTTTCGATGAAGGTTCGGATCCTTCGAGCAGGAGAATTACCGGCCTACCGAATGTCCGAGTAGGTAGGATCGGGGAATATGGTAGACAATACGCGCCGGAAATGCTCGTTGGCGATCCGTATTGTCCCTTTAAGGCAGACGTGTGGTATTTAGGTCGGATGCTTAACACTGACATGGATAGGGAAGTCAAAGGATTCTTGGAGAAGGTATGCTTCTTTCTAGATCATGGCAGTGCTGTTCTGACGCCGTTTTCCGTGTAGCATCTCAAGGCCTTTGACGAAGATTTTTCGTTCGATGGCGTGTTCGGAAAGTACTTTGCCCAGGTTGGCGTAACATCTATTCTGTATTCAACCTAGCACCCTGATCTTCGTTCTAGGATGGCATCCAGAGCCAACAAATTGTTAGTATTCCCAATTTTGACTTTCTACGACATTCCATTCTGACTTCAATTCAGATGCAAGCGTTCGATGAGGTGCGTAGTACCACTACTGTACAGCTGTCTTTTACATGACGATAATTTCAGTACATCGGGAAAATCAACGAGGTAATTGCTCAAGTTTCCACCCCGTTGTCGAAGATGCTGAACATAAATTGCAGGTGAACGGATCGTTCCCGAAGGCAACTTTGCGAATGGCAATGTGGCTCCTCACGATGGTTGCTCAAATGCGGTCGTCGAATCCGGAACTAAGGCCGACGATGTCGCAGCTTGTGGATTCTGTCGTTGAAATGCGACGCAGTTGTCCGGTGGCGGTATTGTCTGATTATATCGGTATTCAGCGGAGGGCGGTAGAGTGGGAGAAGTGGTAGAAATTGGCTGTATGTCATAGATGAAATTGCCAACAATGAGCTTATTGTGTCATCAGCTAGACCGGACTTGACCCTGACTTCTTCGTCCCTTAAATGAGACCGACGGTTGGATACACTCTTTGTGTGAAGCTTGTGGATTCCTGTCGACGACGATTTACTTTGCTTATTATCTTACCCATTGACGAAGGCTCAATACTACGAAAGCCTGTATTCTATCTTTGATCAGATGCTGCGCGATGTCCTCAGCGGAACTGCGATTCTGCGAAACTTGAGACGACAAAATGAAAGGTCTAGCAGAGAGAGCATCGGACAGATGAGGATCCAGGTCTTCCTGACAAGGCTGTCAGAACAATTATGTGGGATCGTGCGACGAAACAATTAAGTGACAAATCGTGACGAAGTCGAAGGAACCCCCCAAACCCTTACATCATTTGAAGGCGATAGATCTTTCCGGAAGAGACTTGATATTCTACCCGAAGCGGCCCATTAAAATATTCCGGTAAAATTCTGGTCAAAATAGAGGCCGCGGCAGGTGTAATAGTCTAGATATTCATTAGGAGCCAAAGACTGTAATCGAACGTACTAATGCCGTAACCAGGGACGGGTAGGCACATAGATATGCAACGGCCTCTGGAATCTTGCAAGCCGCGTCTGTTGAACTGCAGATTCAGGTAGTACATGTGAACTGTTGAAATTTCTATGATGAGAGAATTTGAGCATAGCGAGCCATAAGGTCATACCTGAGCATCTTCATTGAGGTGCAGAGTTGAAATCACTAGAATGATTTTCACCTCGTCCATTTCAGAAAATGTCGATTGAAAATACACCGACCACCTTCAATTTGGAAGATATTGATATGTTTGTGGCTTGAAATTCAGTTGGACCAGGGAAATAGCCTAGCATGTCATGTTTCTTGATGAGAAAAAGTAGCAAATTTGACCTGACTCAGATATCAGTGACTCAACCGACTCCATGTACATGATGGCCACTGGCAATTCCAGCATAATGTAAGAGGGAATATCTTTTCCACATGTATCCATCCGTCTACAAAAGTGTGGTAGAATGATATTCCTTTCCTGGGGGAGATCATGCAGTATGATTGCTATATGAAGCGGACCAACAAGCACCTGCATGCCATATTTAGATCGACTCCGATCATTTGGTGACTCACCGGCTGCCGGCGGCTACCAGTCTTGATTTGGATTTTGCACCCGACGACGACGACCACCCGACCTCACGCCCAGCCTTCCAATCGAGCTAACATACAAAGAATCTAAATTGGCTCCGGGTGTTATTGTGTATCTGAAGGATGGCTGGCAGACATTGTTTAGGTAATCAAAACATCCATCCGCAGTCAGAACAAGGTAAGGTATTTCAGTTATATGACATTGATCTCGAATAATTTGGAATGTAGCCCTGATCTGGACAGAAAGATATAGCTCTCTCTTTCCAGAGGTGGCTCGGCCCTTCGCGTTCCTACTGGATCATGAAATATTTCATCGGAAATAGGTCTTGCTTGATTATATGCAGCTGGCTGTATGTGTTCCACTACGGACTATCACCTCTGGAGATCGGTACGAACCAGTGTGCAGCGCTTAATGCGTCTACAATGCGCAGTCTGGAGGTTATTAATAGGACTAGAAGTGAAATGGAATTCCCGGCCTTCAGAGCGTTTCAAGGCGTTCATATCCATGCTTGATTCGAGGAACCGTAATCTTAGGGGTTCCCACCACTTCCAACTTCAAGTCACCCTGGCCTTCTGATCAATAAGAAAGATCAGATAACCTTGATTTCAATGACGATTCATTTGATTAAAGGAACCTGGTTATTGGGGTAGGAATGCACCTTAGTAAACCCGACGCCGTTATGCTTTCCAAGTGCGATGAGTTGGATCTTTTCAAAATAATTTGCTCACATTTTTCCATGATGGAGCTGTGGATATTTGTCTTCATATCTCGAATATAGATACAATCTCACCTGATGCGAACGGTGAAAACTACACGAACTGCGACTCAACAAATTGGCTTGGACTAGCAGCAACCATTTCTTTTACAGAACGAACTCAGATGGTTAACCTTCGGATCATCCGCGCAACCCACAGTAAGCGCTTGCGTCTTAAACTTTGGAACACTGTACACATATCATATGTTATACTAAAGGATATAGTACTTCTTGGAACTTGGTAATCAACTACATGAACTACAAGTTGATAACTCCATGGGTTTGGCTCTTCTCACGAGACACGTGTAAGGTGTGTTCCATCTTTGGCTGTGACATTATCAACAGTCAATGATAGAATTCCTAACCTTTATCTGCATTACAGCTCAAGTTGTAACATGAGTGCAGGGTATTGGGCCGGCTGCTCACTCTTTTTCCAGTGCCCAAACCGATTAATTCAGGTATCCCTGATGGAGAGGTGGAATGGATTCCATGAAGTTTTGTCCAAACATATGTACTTATCCCTGTTGAAGACAGGTGACTTGAAAGGATACCAGCCTTCTTCAAAGTTCTTCTTTGGAAAAATTTCATTTACTTGTCATCCTCTATCTGTAGTCAGGAGAGTCAAATGTCTGGACTTCGCCAAGAAATGAACTTCGAACGAGCGGGGAGTGCGAAGGATTTAGATGATAATAAAGGGAACGTGTGTGCTACTCATGGAATCCATCCTCAATAGCAACTGGGCGCTTGTTATTTGGCTGTGGGGGCCGGGGATAGTAGCTCCACACGGTAACCATAGTGACATGTGTATTGATGAAAAGGTAAACTTTCCTTTCGTCTCCGCCTGATCAAAGGAAGCATTGTCAGTTCGACTGAGGGGCCCAGACTTGACGTCTTATCCAAAGTATTAGCTGGTCATCGAATGGTTATCCGACGCCAAATAACAATATGATAAAATATGTTTATTAGCGCCTCGGGATAATTTAAACCGCAGTACCATCATTTATTGATCCGTAGAGATAAGGGGGACGGGTATGACAGGATTTCACTGCTTATGTCTGGAACTGACTGGACCCCTGTGAGAATGTCACCTGTGTGGCGGAGATGTCCTCGTATTGCCTAGTGTACACATCGACTTGGAGCATACAGACTTTTCTGGATGAACAATGTTTCTAGGCAATGAGTTAGTGCTTTCGTCATCAGCTTGGCATGGTTCACCGTGATTGACGGACCAACAAGAGCCTACGTCGTGGGTCCTATCCCATGGCCACCATGTGAACCATTGCGCAGAGCCGGTCAGAGGTATATTGACCGGAGAAGCCTCATGGTCTACTTAAATGTGCTCATGTGCCAGGCAGCCAGGGCGCCGCATGGAGATGTGAATGACGGGAAGAAAAACAAAAGATTTGCAGTCACAAAGGGGGTGGACAGCAAGTAAACTTTGGATAAATAGTATTTATTCTGTTTTCGCAACGCAGCGGGAAAGCAAGGTAAAAAGGTCCAAAGCAACTAAGATTTTTGGAGTAACGAATGAGTCCATTCTGGTAGCTTGCAATTGCATAGAGCGAGGTCTACCATTTCTCCCACTCTACCGCCCTCCGCTGAGTACCGATATAATCAGACAATACCGCCACCGGACAACTGCGTTGCATTTCAATGACAGAATCCACAAGCTGTGACATCGTCGGCCTTAATTCCGGATTCGACAATCGCATTTGAGCAATCGTCGTGAGGAGCCACATTGCCATTCGCAAAGTTGCCTTCGGGAACGATCCGTTCACCTGCAATTTGTGTTCAGCATCTTCGATAGCGCTGAAACATAGGCAATTACCTCGTTGATCTTGTCTATGTACTGAAATTATCTTCATGTAAAAGACAGCTGTACAGTGGTAGTACTACGCACCTCATCGAACGCTTGCATCTGAATTGAGGTCAGAACGGAACATCGTAGAAAATCAAAATTGGGAATACGAACAATTTGTTCACTCTGGATGATATCCTAGACGGAGCTCAGTCGTCAGGCTGAATACAGAATAGATGTTACACCGACCTGGGCAAAGTACTTTCCGAACACGTCATCAAATGAAAAATCTTCGTGTAAGGCCTTGAGATGCTACAAGGAAAAGGGCATCAGAACAGCACTGCCATGATCTAGAAAGAAATCTACCGTCTCTATGAAACCTTTGACTTCTGTGTCCATGTCGATGTTAAGCATTCGACCCAAATACCATACGTCGACCTTGAAGGGGCAATAGGGTTCGCTAAGAAGCATTTCCGGAGCATACTCTCTATCATATTCCCCTGCTCTACCCACACGGTCATTGGGTAGGCCGGTGATTTTCCTGCTCGCAGGATCAGAGTCTTTATCGAAGCAGACGGCCATTTCGAAGTCCGTAATATAATATCGAATAGGGAAGTGAGATCGAAATGGCCCAGTAACATTTGATTCTACAACCTCATTAGGCTGCATTCTAGCTCCTGCAAAGTTATAAAGAATATTATCGCTATCAAGATCCTAGGAATTCGTAAGTTCCATATAGACCGCCACTGGAGGGATGCGTACGAGATGTGCAATCAAGTTGTCATGACAGAACTTGACGCCCTGGAAAAAAAGAGCAGGGGGTGGGTTCACTTATACTGCGGAGTGCCTCGATAGACGTCGCACCTTGAATACCTGCATCAAATAATCCAGTATCTCGGCTACGTTGTAGAACCATGGCATGTACGCGGCGCCGAGGGAAAGCAGAGGGAAAACGACGAATTTAAGTCCATTGAATTCAAGTTCGTTCAAGAGAGGAAGCGTGTAGTTATCTCCCCGAAAAGCAGACTGTCCTGCGGAGAGTCTTTGGATGGCTTCATAGTGCTCGTCCGCTGTGACATCGCCGTCAATACTGACTAGACGAATGAGAACATCCTGATTATGAATGGTGCGCGCCGGACAGTGGATGTTATTCTGAAATTTTAATGAGCAATGGGGGAAAAAAAGCCAACAAAATCGCCCGTACGACGTGGGAAAAGTTCGATTTATAAATCACGATGCCGGGCTCACATTGATAACGCGTCAAAAAGGTGAAACCATCAGGTCGACGAGGTTCGCCGTTCGGTGGAAGAAGTTCTACATTATCTCCCAAGCCCTGTTCATACATTGATATCCACAATGTGTAACCATGTTCTTGAAAGAAATTCTGGAGTGGCTCAGGTTTCCAGAGGTCGTATGGTCGACTGCCCTCAGGTTCCCAACATCTGTTACGCCATTCTGGTATTGTCTTGGGCCATTCGAAATCAACTGTCATGGATAGCGCACACGAGTGAGGCAGTACGAGTGAGGCGGTGACTAAAGATGGCCACAAATGAACTTGAACGTTCGGCGTTGCACCTTTCAAATATTGAAACTCCGAGTTTTTACGATTGGGGGAAGGAATACGAACTCCGCAATTTGTTCATGAAATGATCTCGCAGCAGGAGGTGACTTCCTTCCAGGGACCGGAACTGTCCTAAGGATCGCTGGAAGTTCGACCCCTGCCATTGCCTGTTAGATCTTGATTTTCAAGAGGTGTCAGATTGTGCTAGATCGAAGTCTTCAACTGGTAATACTGGTGACAGGGTGCCTGGAGGGCGACAGGTATCTGGGCTCCTAACAAACATCATGATGGCGGTATTTTCCCTCAACTGCGAACTAACGCATCTCATCGTTGCACAACGCAGCGTTATTCGAACTGCAAATGGGCCGGATGAATGTCACAGCCGATTGGGATCAGTTCTGAGTCGATTTATATATTGACCCCCTGTCTGATGGCCCTGACCACCCAACGCTCGAGCCTCGAATGACACAGTAGGCACCAGTAACGATTGGTTTCGGAGCTGATGTGAAATCCTTATCGATTTAGAGACCGCTCTGACTCTTTCTGCAAAACCTTTATTAACAATATGCAGTCGTTCGGATCTTCGAGCTTGCTGCCAGGTCGAAACCGTATAAATGCCATTATGGTAGGGCGTCTTGTTACTTCCCCATCAGTCTCTTCACTCGAAAAGAGCCAGTCATAGCTTTAGTACCTTTGCTCCCGTTCTCGCTATACCGTGATGGTTAATATTATTTACACACACACTGACGGCCTCCAATACGTCGGAGAGAGGGTGAACAGAAAGACATTTGTGGTCAGTCGTACATCTCTCCCTCAGGTTTTAACCTACTCAACCAGCTTCTAGTTCAATAATATTTGGTATTATACTCTCCGGTTTCGCTTTGGCAATTTATTTAGCTGCCCCACCACTGCTTGTGTTTATGCGTAAGTCTCGATGCTTGTAACAGAACGAAGTGGACTTGATATTACAGTGTACAGACCTGCTGGGACAGCTATGACCGATCCTCCTCCAAAGTAAACACCTCACGGGACTACTTAACATGTCGAAATTACTTGTACTGCCTTGATATTGTCTGAGTCTGCTGTATTCCATGCTTTCCTGCCTAATCACATACTTATTTATTGCCACCGAATCACGATCTCACTCCACTCATCTTCTCCCTGGTATACTGTTTAAATTAACCAAAACGTCGTGGATACACTAGGATACTGTTTGCTAATTTCGCACAACTATGACACTGACACTAGCAGCACATGCAACATTTCAGATGTCTTGCAAGTTGTAGATCACGTAATTACCTTGGAAGAGGTATGCAGCACCATAGCAGACATCTAAAGTGGCTCATTAAAGTAGTCATTTGCAACATCCTGTGATCCATGTATGACCTTTGTTCTCATAGACATTCAACGACAATCTGAATAGGCTTCCAGCAATTTAATTGATGACAGATCTTTAATCAAACTTTGGCCAACTCGTACATTTTAGTTTTTGTATTTTTTCAGTTCAGTCTGCTCATTGCCAATCATTTGGAAAAACATCCACTGTGCTGCACACACCATACACAATCAGGATGTTCTCATTCATTGATGCTACAGGAGATGAGCACTATAAAGCCATCCAGTGGCTCTGCAAAGGACAGACTGCTTTTTGGGGAGATAACTACACCCTTCCTCTCTTGAATGAACTTGAATTCAACAGACTCAGATTCATCATTTTCCCTCTGCTTTCCATTGGGGACATTCTGTGGTTCTACAATGTGGATGAGATCCTGGACTATCTGGTGCAGATATTCAAGGTGTGGCATCTATTGAGGCACTCCGCTGTATCATTGAATGCACTTTTTTATTTTTTGCCAGGGTGTCAAGTTCTGTCATGACAACTTGATTGCACATCTTGTACACATCCCTCCAGTGGTGGTCTATATGGAACTTATGAATTCCTAGGATCTTGATAGCGATAATATTCTTTTCAACTTCCTAGGAGGTCGGAGAGAGCCTGCTGAGGATACAGAAACTGATGTCACTGGGCCATTTCAATCTCACTTTCCTATTCAATACTATATCAACAATTTTGAAACTGAAGACTTGGATCCTTCAAGCAGAAAAATCACTGGCCTATCCAATGACTGTGTGGGTAGAGCAGGGGAATATGATAGAGAGTATGCTCTGGAAATGCTTCTTAGTGAACCCTATTGCCCCTTCAAGGTTGATGTATGGTATTTGGATTGAATGTTTAACATTGACATGGACACAGAAGTCAAAGGTTTCATAGAGATGGTAGATTTCTTTCTAGATCATGGCAGTGCTGTTCTGATGCCCTTTTTCTTGTAGCATCTCAAGGCCTTACATGAAGATTTTTCATTTGATGATGTGTTTGGAAAGTACTTTGCCCAGGTCAGTGTAACATCTATTCTGTATTCAACCTAGCACCCTGATCTTCATTCTAAGATACCATCCAGAGTGAACAAATTGTTAGTATTCCCAATTTTGACTTTCTATGATGTTCCATTCTGAGTTCAATTCAGATGCAAGCATTTGATGAGATACATAGTACCACTGCTGTACAGCCATCTTTTACATGATGATGACATTCTCAGTATATTGACAAAGTCAATGAGGTAATTGCTCAAGTTTCCACCACATTGTTGAAGATACTGAATACAAATTGCAGGTGAATGGATTGTTCCCAAAGGCAACTTTGCAAATGGCAATGTGGCTTCTCAAGACGATTGCTCAAATGTGGTTGTTGAATCCAGAACTAAGGCTGACAATGTTGTAACTTGTGGATTCTGTCATTGAAATGTGATGCAGTTGTCCAGTGGTGGTATTGTCTGATTATATTGGTATTCAGCAGAGAAGTGGAAATTGGCTGTATGTGATAGATGAAATTGCCAAAAATGAACTTATTGTGTCATCAGCTAGAACGAACTTGGACCCTGACTGATTCATTGCTTAAATCTGGCTGACACTTGGATACACACTTTTTTTTTCTTTTTTTTTTTTGGCACTGAAAGGCTATCACAGAGGTAGTCTGGTGACACAGTCACTTTCTACATGCAGCCAGAATTGTTGCCAGAGATTAGAATCAAGAGAGTATAGTTAGTAGATTGAATAAATGTGTCTTAAGTTTTCACCCCAGGGAAATGCTTTTATGCACTGAAGAGTGTGGGACTCAGGACTTGTAACTTGGCTGAGACTAACATCTACTCCATTTTGCACCACCTCCATACTTACCTTGCACCACCCAGCCATCATTGTTACCCAATATGCACTAAAACTCTGACAGATTCCATCCAGTCTTTTGGAAACTGATGCTTGTTTAGAATTGAGCCTGCCCATGTTTGTAAAACAAGGCCTTTGCTAGTTGCTTTCCTACCAAAGTGATCATGCATTGTCATGCAATCTAACTCTAGCCATATGTTGATTTTCTTTCTCCATCCATTTCAGATTTCCTCTGGTGTGAAGGCTGAGTTCTCTCATTGAATAACTCTCTCACAGTGGGTGTTCCAGATAGTTTGTACTGCAGATGTGATTAAAATTTTGAAGAAGTGTTCCTTTCCTCAATCTCTCTGTCTGCCTGGTGATTTGAAGATTGGTGATGTGCATGCTGGTTTGTGGGATAGGTTTGAAAGGTGCCATGAGATATCTCATTGTTCCAGTAGGTTCTTAGTAAACTCCCAGACTTCATTTTGGCCAGGTGTGGAGCATTCTGTTAGGATGTGTTCCATGTTCTCTATACTGTTGTTGCAGTGGGCACAGTAGGCTCTGCTGTGGTACTGTGGGATGAAGTTTGGCCATTTTTCTCCTATTCTATATGCATTGTGCATTGTCATCCACAGGAAATACCTTGTATTCAAGTCAATGTCTTTGTGACAGATTGACTTCCATAGTGCTGTTGATGTTGTTTGCATACTGAAGTATTCATTCACTCCTTGGCTTGCTAGTTTCATATTTGTGTTTGTCTTTGCTGAAAGAGGGAGGTTTTGGTTCTTCCTTTCCTGAAAAGCCTTGTAGGCTTGACTCTGCATCAGTTTGCTCAGGGATGCACTGGTGATCTTTAATTTTGGGTCTACTTCCAAGTCAATCATATCATCTTGGTTGTGTTCTGCCCCTTCCTTGGCTAATCTGCTTGCATTGTAGATTCCATGATATTTATTCTAGCCCTTTGTTCACTTCATCATTGTCACCTGTTTACAGCTTTGAAAGCTGGCTACCATCACTTGAAGAATTTTTTTGTTGGAAACACCTATGTATCTCATGTCTTTCATTCTTTTCAGGGTTTTTGATAGGTGGTTGAGCACATATTTTGAGCCTTTTTTGTTATAAAGGATGACCCTCTTATTGGTTTTGGCCAATAGTTCTTTTATTGCTACCACCTCTCTGGCTTGAGATGTCTGGAGTTTGGTTGAAGGCATTTCATAGCTAACTTCAATTTGTTTTCTCCATTTATAAAGCAGCCAGTGCTGGCTCTGGCATCAGGTGTGTAGGGTTGATGCATAATCCTCTTGTTGTGGTATGGTTGATGATTCCTGTTGGAGTGTCCAGCTGTTGACATGCCCTCAATGTGTTCACATGTGTAATTTTGGGAAATCTAAGGATACATTAAGTGTATTCAAGTCTACTACATGCACAAAGGCCACTATGACTTGCATGTAAAGGCTGTTATGACTAGCATGCAATAAAATAAGACTTAATATGATACCTAACTTGAGTGATGATTGATAGAGTGCATGGCCTAGTAGCAGGATGATGCCAGAGAGATTATATTGTGCATGAGGTCTCAGCACTTGGCACTAAATGTGCTAATACAGGCACAGAAAGGCATGCTAAAAATAAAAAGAACATGATCAAACTGATCAGGACTTTACATAGGACTTTGCATCATATTGATCAATGACACATAGACATTGAGGTGCTGAAACACACACTTTAGACTAGAGGATCAATGCACAATGAGATAAACCTGAATATTCAGACAGTTGGCTGAGAAATAAGAGGATGATATAAAAGTAATGACCAGAGAAATAAACCTGGAGGTCTGGAATATATACTGCACATAGCTTAATTGCCTCAGAAGATAAGAAAGTGAAGAGACCTGTGGCTAAATCAGACAACCAAGCTAGCCAATGTCAGGATTGCTTGAAAACCATGGACCTAGTCTCAAGTTGGAGCAGAACATATACATGAAGCTGCATGTGCAGTAAAAATGAATACCATAAGACTCCAAGTAGGAGTTCTATCTGTTAATAATACTATACTAGATTGTATTAAAGTGTGACTGTAGAATAGTTAAATATTGTGATGTAAAAAGTAGTATAGAAGTTTCTGACTCTTACTGTTGGAGTGTAAAGGCATGAAGGCCTTGTGCTTCAGCTCCTGAGATTAGTTTGTAACTTCAGATGAGAGAATAGACCTATATTGACATTATCATGAGTGATTTGAGTATTGCACAAGACAATCAAAGCTCCTGAGAGACTCTTGTCTGATTTAATAGAAGGTTTTGAATTGCACTCTAGTCTGAGAATAAGGAAGTAGTATCTGAAGGGCACTCTTTTGAGTTTTTGAGGTATTTTTTACACAAAGCACTACAGGTAGCAGAGGTTTGAACTCTTTGGCTTGATTAGTGCTCACTTTTTGGTTATTTCTCCAGATTGGCAGAGATTCAAATTCTTTAGATCTATAGATAGGGTTTTTATTGTGTTTTTGTGTCTCTGAATTGCATATGTTTGAAACATGTGGATCTACAATCAGTTTGGAAGCTTGAGCACATAGGTTTGAACTCTGTGGCTCTTGTGGACATGTTTGTGAAGGATTTCTGTGTAGAGCATGAGGCTTTAAATGATGTATTGTGTGTTTATGGCTTTGAGTTTGGTCTGAGCAGTGCTTGGGACTTTGTGAGAGTTCTGTAGGAGTGTTTAAAATATTGTGTTGTGATACAGTACTCTTGCCTTGAGGTCTGGCCACATTCATCACCCCTCTTATTTAAAACAAAAGCTTTGAGACTTGGAGAGATCTTGGATATATACACATACTATTGCTATTTGCATGCAGTGGATTGCTGAAGATACAATTGTATTGGCTGTTACTACTCTTTTTGCAGTATAATCTCCAATGAACTAAGAGTGTTGTGTGTGGGTATTGGTGTGGGTGTGATCAGCATATAGTTCTATGCTGTGTCAGTTTCTAGCTTGTGCATATAACCACCTCTTCACCATAGGTCTGGCAATTTATTGCACACCTTACTTCTGTGAAAATGCAGAAGATATTCATAATTGAGCCTTTGATTGTCACTCTCCAATCAAATTTGAAACCCTCATCTATTTGTTCTAGGCTATCTTCATAATCTTCAGAGAGCATGAATCTTGAGTCCCACTTTCAGGTAGGGTGTCTAGTAATTCCTTCACTTAAAGCATACATTCATTCAGGTATCTACAGTCTAGATTGTCCCTCATTGCTATACAGATATGGTATTCACATCTCATTTCTCTGGTTGAGGCATTGTGGCTTGGATCATCTAGAGGTTGTGAAATTTCCTCCACTTCTTCTACTAGGCAAAGTCTGTGGTTGTCTCAGAGATGTATACTTGCTTGTGAGCATGTCAGAAGATGGATTTTAGAATCAGCTGATAAATGAAACCAGCTTGGGTATTCATGTAGGATTTCTCCAGAGAAAGCTATGCCCTCCACTCATACTCCAGTCTCTTTTGCTATTGACATGATTCACTGAAGGTCTTGAGGTAGTTGTTATTTTTTGGTATTGAATGACTGTAAGAATATATTTATTTTCACATTTTGAGCAATGTTATTTTCTGATTTTAGGTCTACATGTGCTATGTTGTCATAAGCATAGAAGGTCCATGTAGGCTTTTGCTCAGAGAAGAGTTTCTTTAACCACATAGCCTCAATGGCTTTGTTATGAGCTAGTAGATCAAGGATGTCTAGGCCTCTCTGTTCTCTCAAGGATTTCAGTGTTTTAAGATCAATTAGGTTTTTAGTTCTGCCTTTTCAGATAAACTTTCATTCTCTTTTTTCTAGTTTGCTCTCAATTTGTTTAGGCATATCTTGTACCATCATCAAATATTGGGTCAGCTCTCCAATCACAGTTTGAATTATTATATGTTGACTCAGGATAGAGGGGTGAGATATTTCCTATCTTGCAAGGCTGCTATCTATTTTCTCTATGATTAGAGCTCACACTATATCCTCTGAGATGTTGTTCCTGAACCATGCACCTAGGATGTGAATTGCTTCTTATTCTTTAATGATTTGAATGTTATCAGAGATCTGCCTGAACTCTGTTTTGCTCTTCCATTTATTTGCTACTCTTAAACAGAATTCTTTGCTACTTATTGGTATTATTTGAGTTTTTTTGACATTGAAGTATGCTCCACTAGCAATGCACCAGTTGTCTAGAATCTTTTTCAGTTCTTTGAAATCTTCTTCATAGAGAAAGGTAGCAGTATTGTCTGCAAATAGTTTGGCTATCAGATGTTCTTCTGATCCTGAAATGTCTAGTCCTTTTAAGTTAGACTTTCAAAGCATTTCTACAAGAGATTCTATTGCAAGATTAGATAGAAGGCAGAACAGTGGATCACTCTGTTGAACTACTCATATAATCTGGAATGGTGAGCTGAGGCATCCTTTTACTATTACTCTTGTAAATGCATTTTCATATAGTGACTTTATGAACAGTGAAGAGATCTGGAACACTTCTAGTACTCTCTAGTGGTAGTTGTGACAGATTTTATCATATGCTTTTTCTTGGTTGAGTACCACAATCATGCTGTTTTGAAGGGCTAAGTTGGTATGGTCTATTATCATTCTAATGAGTTTGGTCTGGTTTGAGATTTGTCATTCAGGTATGAAACCTGTGATGTGCCAGGTAACTGTACCAGGTAGAAAAGAGGATATATTTATTGCTTTTACCCAGTTAGCTACTCTGTACCCACCACAGTAAGATGTATTAAGCAAGTGATTATCTGAAAAGAGTAGTCCTCTTGAGTGTAGTGTCCCTATGATCAGCAGAGACCAGAGCATTAGTGGGCCTCTCTGTGTGACATGCAAGGTTGCTGGGGCCAGAAACAGGGATCTGCATGGTCAGCATGATGGCAAGGACCAGATCCCAGCCTCATCAATTGACCAGATAGCTGCATATATGCTCATATCCATCAGGAAATGAGTTTAGCCTCTCTGGCTGCATCAGCAAGTATATTAGTCAGTAGTTGATTATGTTAGTCAGCCATGGGTAGCTAGAAGTATAAATACCAGAGTGTATGAGAAGGAGAGGCAGGTTTCTGACTCTCCTCTCCCCCTTCAAGGTGCTATCAGATGAATAGTATGGGTTGTGTTTGGTTAAGAGCTTTGAGTTGTAGACTCAATCTGAATAGCATTGCAGGGACCAGGTCACTTTGTTTTGTGCAAGAATCTCAGAAAGTAACTAAAAGTTTGTGTCAGACAGTCAGAACAGACCTGAGACAGTTCAGAACAGCCAGTATTTGTGTATAAGTTACAATCAGGCACATTATATCAGTCCAGAAACTGCATCAGGCAGACCATTTGAGATAGATTTTGTTGTGTTCAATGACACAGACAACTTTGTCCCAGTAAACTGCACAATATATACTCTTGAATTACATTCTATTGCACTCTATCAACATTATATTCTCTATATACTGAGAATCCAGGTGTTACCATTCCTCCCTTGAACTGCATTGTGATTTGGTGTTAGTGATTTGGTGGTGTGCATCCTGCATATTGTTGATTCATTTAGTGCCACTTCTCAGCATTTCATCTGCCTGGTCAATGTGTATTAATTCTGATGCTACATTTACCAGTCTAATGAACAGGGCTTTTGTGAACAGCTTGTACTCAGAGCTTAGAAGGGTTCTGAGGTGGTAGTTCAATATCAAATTTCTATTGTTTTTTTTGTAGATAGGGTACATCCAGCCCTCAGTGAAGTTTGTGGAGGTATCTATGCTATGACTTTTGATATCATTGAATACTTCTGTTAAGACCCCTACTATATCAAAGCTTGGGAGTCTTTTTCTTTCATCCTCAATATGTCTGTCATTGAGGACTTTGTAGAATTTATTTGTAGTGCCATTTATTCCAGAGGCAGAATTATTTTTTGACATGTTTAGAGATTTAAGTACTTTATTTCTCTTTGTTTTCAGAGAGAATTAGATTATATCTCTCTCCAAGAGTATGGCATTTAGATTATTCAAGGTTAAATTTATCATTGACTCTCTTGTTTCAGTATCTACATCAAGGCCATCTTTTTGGAGGGTCTTGCCATGATAATCTCTTATCATCTCAGCTATTTTTATGAAGGATTTCTCATATTGAGATTGTCATAGTATAGAAGTGTCTTCATTTAGATGGGAGAGAGTAACTTCTATAGTATGAGAGGATGTTTGGTTAGTCTCATCAGATCCAGGGATCACAAGTATCCATATTAAATCTTTTGGTTTCAATTCTTTGTTGGATTAGAAGTAGTATTTTGAAACTATTTCCTCTTCTAGGCAGTCTTTCACTGCTATGAAATAGCATGTCCACTGGTGGTTGTCTTGTTTGATTTCTCAAAGTTCTTTTTTAAGTCCTGCTAGCTTTTCAGAGTGAGTCACATCATTGAGTTCATGGTTCTCTGATATTTTACTGATTGCTTTGTTTAGATCAGCTTCCTTTTTTTTGGCCTGACATTTCAATTTGTGCTCTCTCTCTCTTGCCATATTCATCACCTCTGTGATGAAATTATAGTATGTTCTCTGACAATTCACAATGTCTATTCTGTTGGTATGTTTAATTCTGTTGATTTCTTCCTGAGTTGATAAGCCTAGTTCCTTTAATTTTTCTGTTAGCTTTCTGTTTTTCAAAATATAGTCAGAGTATGCCTAATACCCTTTGCCTATTAGAGAGGCCTCTTCATGAGCTACTTGAACTGATACCATATAATGGTCAACCCCTGTGATATCTACAGGTTGTATCTTCCATTATCTTGCCAGATCAAATAGTCTGCTAGTCATATAGATGTGGTTAACATATAATTGGAAGGTTCTGTTTGTGTTTTCATTAGTGTCTGATACTTGTGTATTCTTTGAGCAGGAATATGTGAAGTTTAGCTTATCTGGAAATATGCTATACCAGCCATCTTGAAGTCCAAGTGATTCTTTGAGTTTATTGAAAGTGAAGCATACTTCTTTATTATCTGCATGAGTGGGTAGACAGTCAATTGAGTCCTCAACAAAGTTCATATCCTCTCCCATGTAGTCAGAGTGCTAGTCTGGATGTTGAACAAAGAAATTGTGTAGAGCTGTGAAGAATTCTGCACTTTCTCTAGAGTCACTCAGTGAGACATTTGGAGCATAGACATCTAGGATTATAATATCTTTATCACTGTGCTATTTCATTTTCATCAGCAAGGCTCATTCTGGGACCACTATCTTTGTCTGTATACTATGCCAGTTTGTTGATTTCTTGTTGATAACAGTAGCTGCATCTTCTTTGCCAGTTGGATTTTCTGGATTTTCTGTGAAGACAATTTTTATCCTTTGTAAAAATAAGTTTTTAAGCTCATTTTGTCTCCTTTCTATAAGATAAGCTTTGGATACTATGAGAATATTAGTTCTTGATGTGCAGAGTAGTCAGTTGAAATAGCTCTATTTACTGTTTTAGATATTGTCTTCATCTTCTGCTGAACTGAAATTATTGATGTTTAAGTATGATATCATAATTGCTGCTTTAGTTCTTTCCTAGTCACTTCTCAATGCTAGCATCTATTAAATGAATGTTCCCTAAATGGGATTGTATTCTGGCTTGCAGCCATTTGTACTCATTGAAATTGTGGCTTCTGGCCCTCTCTCTGTACAGAGTTCTAGGGCATGGCTCTTCTATCCTCTGTCTCATAGTATTACTACTCTCACTATTTGGTGTCTCATCTATAGGTGGACTTGAGCTGCATGAGGTTGTTGAGATGCTTGACTGATACTTTGGGTTTATTTGTTATCAGCATTGACCAAGGTTTTCTTGCATGGTTTTATCTCTGTCTACATATGATGCAGCTTGAGCTACAGCTGGCATATTCCTATCATTATCAGAGAGACCTGGTAATGTTTGATCAACCTCACCATCCTCCAGAAATGCCAATGCTGATTCTCCACTGTCACTACTTTCACTACTATCTTCCATGGAGGGATAACCAGTGGGTATGTCAGAGCCTTGACTGAGTAGTGCAAAGCAATTACTGTAAAAACTCATTTTATTGTGAGAAGTTTCCTTATATTCTAGACAGTTATTAGTGCAGTAGAATTCACATACTGAGTTTTCTAAACTGCAGCCTGCTAAGATGGATCTATTTGAAAGAATTTTCCTGGTGAGAGAGAAGTCTTCCAAATAGTAGTGGTTCTATCAACCTCTTTTTGGAGTTTGGTTGTATTGCCTCTCTCTGCTCAGCTTGTCCAACTTACCTCCATTAAGCTGCTAGTACATCAAAACAGAGAGATGCTTCAATAAGTGTTAATTCAGAATTAATCTACTTCTCATCTATTGTTAGACTCAAGCTGCACATAATCATAAACATGTAATAAACTGATGTCACTTTGTGTTCAAGTGTTCTGTCAGAGTCCACTGATGTGAATATTGATTGTTATGCTACAAGGCCTCATGTTTGGCTCAAGAGTAGGATGATATAAAGATAAACTTTAGCTCAAAGCTGAGGGTTATCAGCAAGAGTGAGCCTCCTTATATACTGTATATATCAGAGATAATTATAAGACTACTTATTGTATGTCTCCAAGTCCTTATGCCAATTGTTCTTGGGTGTCATTACTGTTCACAAAAGGTTGATTATGCATCATTGAGGGCTGGTTGCTATGTCAGAGGATAATGATGGATTAGCTCATTTGTGATGACTAAGCCTCTCCCACAGTCCTAAGCACTAATCTAGGCACTCTGACTAAGCATAGATAGAGGTCAATCATAGAGAAAAGGGAAGAAAGAAGAAAAAATCATAACATTACCCCCTCCTTAAGACCATCATCCTGATAGCTTAATTTAGAGATAATTCATAGTCTCATATAGCATTGTCAGCATTCATTCATTTTTTGTTCACCCATTGATTGAATTTAGGGCTATAGCCCTTCCAACAAACCAAGTAGTCAATGGTAGCCATTGTTCCTCCACCACATGCTTTGACCTTTTGCAATTTATGATTGAGGATTTGATTGATTTTGTAGTGTTCCTTATCATCAATCAGGTCAGGAGGTGGTGGAGGTGGGCATTCTTGGTTGGAAAAGGCCAGCATGATGAAAGGTATTAGAAGGGTTTTGTTAAAGACATTGTGCACCCTCCAGCTGGCTGAGAGTCATAGCTTATATATGGAGGTGCTGATCTTGGCAAGAATAGGAAAGGGTCTAGTGCACTTGTCATCTAGCTTTTATTTTGGCTGCAGGAGGTGAAGGTTGGTAATATCCAACCAGACCTTGTTATTGACTGAATATGTATGAGCTAGAGCATAATGCTTATCATACTGTTTTTTTATTGATATTGCTGCTTTTTTGAGGATGGCTTGAGTTTCTTTATAGATCTTTGCCATTATTATGGTAAAGTTGGAGGATGCAGGTATTGTGGTATGAATGCATTCAGTGTGGGAGACATGAGGATGTTGACTGGTGTTGATAAAGAATAGGGTTTTGCCAGTGGCAGAGTGGATGCAGTTGTTATGTTGAAAGGCTGCAAGAGCAAGCCATTCGATCCAATCATTCTGTTGATAATTGATGAACAGCCAGAGGTATTTCTTGATCTCTTGGTTGGCTTGTTCTGTCTGGCCATCAGTTTGAGGATGATAGGTAGTAGAGGTGTTATGCTGAATGTTGAGGAGGCAGTATAAGTCATCTAAGAACTTAGAGATGAATTGTGGTCCTTAGTTAGAGATGACCACTTGTGGCATTTTATATTTAGCATATACTTTATCACATAGAATCTTTGCCCATCCTTCAGATGTTAGCTCAGTCAAGCAGGTGATCAGAATGATTGCTTTGGAGAAGTGATCAACTATAATGATGATAGCATCATATCCATTACACCCTGGCAGTCCTGTGACCATGTCCACAGAGATATGAGTCTATGGTGAGTTGAGGATTTCATTCAGATAAAGGGGTGCCATGTGTGGCTGTGTAGTTGGCTTGCCTCATTGGCAGGTTTCACACCTCTTGACATATTGTTCTATGTCTTAGCCTATTTTGAGCTACCAATATTCCTGTAGTACAAGTTTCTTTGTTTTGGTGATTTCAAGATGTTCTGCAATTACATGATCATGGCAGGTAGTAATAATCTCACCATGAAGTCCATGATCTCATAGAATATAGATCCACCTGTCATAGTAGATTAGTCCTTCCTTCTTCATCACTCTATGTTCATGATTTAGTGATGGGGCTATGCACTGGTCCCATTTACTGGCATCCCTTGTTGCACTCTTGATCTGCTCATGGATCTCCTCCTCTGTCAGCATTATCATGGTCCAGAAGTGTTTGGGCCTTAGTATTGTGACTCCCTCATTATCATTTCCTCTCTGGTCATGGTCCATATAGTGACTGAGGAGATCTGCCTTCTTGTTTGCCATGCCAGCCTTGTGATGTAAGATGTACTCATACTGACTTAGCTCAGTCATCCACTGAGCTTGTTGATGATTTAGCTTTTGCAGCTGTCAGAAATACCACAGGTTCTGGTGGTCCATCTATATTTTGAAGGTTTGAGCTGTGCTGATTAGGTAGTGCTGCCACTCCTCCAAGGCTAGCATGATAGTGAGCAATTCCTTGTCATAAATTTTGTAGTTTTGCTCAGTCACTGTGAGGGCTTTTGATAAGAAGGCTACTGGTTGCCACCTTCCATCTTGCTCTTCAGAGATCACTGCTCTGATAGCTCCTTCACTTGAGTCAGCTTTTATGCAGAATCTCCCTTTCTGAGTTAGAATTGCAAGGACTATATCTTCAGCAAGCTGTCTTTTCAAATCATCAAACACTGTTTGTTGAGACTCCCCCCATGCTCAGAGTGTGTTTCCAGTCAGCTGCATCATTGATCAGACTATTTTACTATAGTCTCAGATGAACCATCAATAAAAGTTGGTGAATTCCAAAAAGGACTGAAGTTTCTTTTTCTTTGTTGGCTCTGGCAATTTCGGTACTCCTGCAACCTTTATTGGATCCATGTGGATACTTCCTTCACTGATAATCACCCCAAGATATTCTATTTCCAACATCTTGAATTCACACTTCTCTGCTTTGAGAAAAAGTTTATGTTTCCTTATTAGTTTGAGAACCTGTCAGATAAGCTATCAGTGTTCACTGTGATTCTTTGATATGATGAGGATGTTATTGAGGTTGATGGTGACCTTCCCAGTGACAATGAGGTCCTTGAAGATATCATTCATCATCTATTGGAAGGTCACCAGAGAATTTTTCAATCGAAAGAATATGATGATGGGTTTGAAGAGCCTCTGATTGGTTCTGAATGCTGCCTTCCACTCATCCCCCTCCTTGATTTGCATGTTGTTGTACTCCTATCAGACATCAAGGTTGGTGTAATACTTCACTCCTTGAAGTTTGTTCATCAGTTCTGAGATCAGGGGTAACAGATATTAGTTTTTGATCATCATCTCATCAAGCTTTTGATAATTCTGTACTGGTTAGAGTTTGCTATCCTTCTTTTTGATGAAAAAGAAGGGAGATGCCATCAGTGATTTTGATGATCAGATTTATCCACTGGAGAGGTTCTCCTCCAGAAACTTGTCAAGCTCCTGCTGTTCATAGTGATCCAGTGAGTAGGTTTTGCAGTTGAGGTTAGCATTGGCATTGGAGACTAGCTTGATCATATGGTCCTATGACTTTGGTTCTGGTAGTTCATCAAAGTTCTCCTTGTCAAACAGATCTTGATAATCTTGTGCCCATTTTGGCACTATCTTGTTATGATTTCTTCATCTTTTATTTCTTTTCTCATAGTATTAACCCCTATTTATGCTTAGTCAGGGTGCCTATGCCAGTGCCTAGAATCATGAGACAGCACTAGGACCATGGGGATGTTTGGATCAGTACAACCCTCTGCAATCTAAAATGTGAAGCAATGCCCTGACACAAGACAATCAGCCTATTGTAGGTAACCATGATGCCCTAAGACAATGAGTACTATAGCACAGACACTTACAATTAGCAGTACTATATTTATCAAGAAGACAAACAGTATATAAGTAGTATAGCTAACAACATGTATCTCTAGTCTCAAACTATCCTTTATTCTACCACTTCACCTTGAGTTAACTACTTGTATTGACCTTGGAACATAATATCTACAAACACACCAGTAGACTTAAGCATGATTGTACAAACATGATACAGTGCTTCTTTACCACATGTTTTAGAGCATATGTCACTCAGGTCTAACAATTAGTTTGAGACTTCTATTTCTCTTTCTTTATGCCCATCATGAGTGAAAGAAACTGAATGCCTGCCATTAATATCACAACTACTGATCTTACTAACAAATTCTTCAAGCTTCTAGCTTCAATTATAGGAACCCTTTTAGGCTTATTAGCTATTATCACCCTCTGCCATAGACATCAATTGATCACAGCTTGGGTAGTCAGGCACTACTAATCCTTCCAACAAATACCACAGATACTATGCAATGTCATCTCTGACCTCCCTCTCTATGACATCCCTCTCTCTGCCAGAGCCTCCTTCCAGTCTGAGGCTGGAACTGTACCCAAAGCCAGATCTAGTCATCTGGATGAAAGAGATATTCAGAAAGAGGAGAAATCCTAATGACCCATCTACCCTCCTTAAGCATCTAGCTGATGTGATGAGTATCCAAACACAGGATTCAGAAACCCATAGGTTCCACTGCACCTCTCTCCAGTCTGTGATCATGAGGATGAGGACCTCTCCAATGACTTCTTTGAAGAGTGGCCATCCTCTGACTCTTCCACACTCCTTATGAGCCTGGTATTGGAGACCATGTCTGGGACTTCATTTATGAGGTTGCAAGACTTGCAGAAAGCAGCTCCAGATATGTCACTCCCTAAGAAAGCCCAAGCCTCCCAGCCTCCAGTCCAGTCCCCTCAACCTCCAGTGATCTCTATGATCCAAGGATCCTTGACAAGCTGGCAAGTGAGAAAGAGAGAGAGCTTGATCAGCAGCAGTGAAAGGACAATGAGAGATACTATACCATACAGCACAGACAGTGACTCAGAGAAGAACAAGCAGCAGAGTGGGGCCCAGCTCCACTGGAGTATTATAGACTCTATAAAGGCAGAGAGGGAGACTTTTACTATGAAGAAAAAGAAGATCTATTTCCAGAAGTCTCCACTGATAAAGCCCAAAGAGTCAGAGTCATGGACCCACCACCTAACTCAGATGACAGCCCTGAAGAGCCTCAAGAGTGACCAGAGTGGAGATCCAACAACAAAGACAACCTCTGGTCTGCTGATTGGTGGGCCAATGCCAAGGTATACACTGCAGATGAAGCCAGAAACCTCAATGATGATTATGAGCCACCATCTCCAACCTATGAAGAAAGCACCAGGAGTGGAAGCTCTCTCCCCTCAGATGCCAGCTCTGTACTCAGCAGGTATGGAATCCAGATTCCTCCTGAAGCCAGGATTATTGACCAAGCCCTCTGATAATTTCTACACAGACATATCACTGCTCTTTTCCTCAACAAGGACTTCTATAAGGACTTCCACTGATATAGTGAGGGAGTGGAGAGAGAAAGAGAGTGGTGAAGAGGTAATGAAGCCAGAAGAGCTGGGCCTTCCTGATCTAACCAACAGCCTACTACTTGAATGAACAGGCAGCAGCCCAGTGATCATTTGAGCCCTCAAGACAATGACCTATGGCCAACCCAATGTCCTGCTTAAAGGAGAGGAGATGGATGATGTGGGCAAAGAGAACAGCAGAGACAAGAAGGATGATGTTCCTCCTGAAATTGACCCATGGTTGGAGTTTAGGCTGATGGATGAAGAAGAGCTGAAAAGAACAATACAGGAGACATAAAAAGATGAGTTTGAAGAATTATACTGGAAAGAGACAGCAACTCTATGAAAAGAGGTTAACTGGCTGATGACTCTCTTGGGAAGGAGGTATTCAGCCACTGATAACAAAGAAAAAAGATATATTTTACAGTATGCCATGACTGACTGTACTATCTACATTTACAACAGTACCCACCTGAAGAATCGGCTGAAGGTCTTATTAGCCTTTCAATACAAAGTCAAGCCAATGCCAAATATACTACCAACTCCACCAAGACATGCTGAGTATATGGCACTGACCATCCAAACCCTTGGCTCTCAACTATCATGAAGTACTATATCCAGCTGAAGAGCCACCACTTGGATTGGATGGCCACAAACTCAGGAACCCCTTCAACCTGTCAGCTTCTACAACTCCTGGATCAGCAAGGGGAGCTGACTACTCACTGGAGCTGGATAAACTACCAAAGGAGATGACTCTAAAGCAATCTAACTAGGATTCACTATATGAGATAGACATATTATGCAAAAGGAAGCACCACTGGAGGGGAGCCCTGTTGCTGATGACAATTCTCTCCATTCATTCCCAGGACCTCTATCAGAACGAAAATGACCTCTATTCAATGAATACTCCAATCTGATAGGGGCATTACCCTTAAATGCAGCCATGCTACAATGCAAGCCAGACCTCATATGAACCTCCTGCCCCTTCAAAGGCACATCAGATGATATTGATCACTTCCTAATTGATTGTGAACAGTATTTTGAAGTCTACACTGCCTATCTAGAGGCTGACTGTTAAGCCCAAATTCCACATGACTATCAACATGTGATAAACAGTTCAGAACCTCACACTTCGGGTTAGACTGACTGAGTTCACAAGGTAATAGCAGCAGTGGGTCAAGGTGTGGCAAGAAGCTTGAGCTTGAGAGTAGATAGTGGAAAATAAACTTTAGCTTAACGCTGAGACTATTACAGTGAAAACAGTGCTACTTAAATACTGTTCTGTTATCTGGCTATTAATAACTGTTCACAAAAGATATTGTCTGCTATAGAGCTGTTACCCCTGCTGTTGTCAGGCTCTCCACAAAAGCTGTTGTCTTGCTGTTGTGCTGTTACTGCTGCACTGCAGTTGAGGGACAAAAGGAGCATTGTCTCTTCCTTCACAGCATACAGCAGCATGCTAAGACAATGACCAACTGGGTTGCTGAGCTAAGCATTCCCACAGTCCTAAGTGCTGGCCTAAGTGCCCTGACTAAGCAAGGATAGAGGTCATTTCTGAGGGAAAAAAGAAAAGAAAATAGAAAAAATTGTAACACTGACATGAATAAGATCACATTCACAGCCTTGTACTTTAAGAGCAAGGCTAAGCATTGGTGGATTCTCATTGCTCCAATCTTATGCTCTACCATCTGACAATATTACTGATACCTGTCCTAGGCTATCTCAAACAAATGGTCTGTGACAAGTTTGTTGACCTAGCAGTCCAAGAAGTACACAAGAACAAGATGAAGGAGTTACAAATGGGTGACAAGATCACAAATGTGTACTTCAATGAGTTGGAATGACTGGAAACACTGGCAGGAGTATGAAAAAGTGTTGATGATGATAGATGAATAGTTGAGTACCTCAAGATGGGGGTATCTCTCTCCTATGTCAGCATGATCTCTAACATAGGAACCAACATTCTGAAGGGCTACAATGCTTGGAAGGCCCAGATCATGGAAATAAACAAGGAGAGGTTGTGATAGAAGGCAGCCAGTGTGGGGATCATGATCAAGCAGAGGAAGCCCTCTCATATGGGAAATGGAAAGAGTGCCAGTGGATCAACCTCAGCTAAGACTGCCTCAACCATGCCAACACCCCCCTATACCATGCAGAAGACAGAGACTGGAACAATGTACACCAGCAGCAGCAAACCAATAGACATTGATTGCCTTAAGAAGGAAGGCAAATGTTTTAATTGTGGCCAGAGAGATCACATGTTCAAAGATTGCCTGAAGAAGAAATGCATGAGAGAAGATATCAGAGTGCAGATAGCTGAGCTGAAAAAGGAAGCAGAAGGGCTATAACAGGCTCTGAAAGCATAGGAGGTAAAAGATAAGGCTGATGAGTGAGTGATTTCACTCAGTCAGCCAAAGGACTTAAAGGTGTGGAAACAGTAACCACAGGTTGGACTCATATGCCTTCTGTAGATATGATTATTTACATGCATTTGAATATACCCTAAGTCTCCCAAACCATGACCACCTCTAAAGAATCACAAACTATCATGACTCAAATGCCTAAGGGCCAAACAGAGAGAGAGACTCCTGTTAAGTGGCTCAAGCTCTTTGATATGGAATGGACTTGGCAAGCCATATGAGAAGGAAGAGAAGGGGAAGTGATGGCCACTCTCAAGAACTGAATGCATCAGACCAGGATCACTGAGGCAGATCAAGAACTAGTGGAGGGACTATAAAAGGCAGAAAGACAGAAGGCCTTAGAATGGTTGGATGAACTCTGAGGACCAAGAAAGTATATCTGGCAGCAGAAGGCTCATGGGCAGGACCTTGTAACAAAGACACAAATCCAGACCCTCACCAATCAAGCAGATTTCATAGTGACAGCCCTGATCAACAGTGGCTGTACTGAAAGTTCCATCAACTGAGCCTTCATCAACAAGCATCATCTGTCCACCAAAGCCACCACTGCTCCTATTCCAGTCTATAATGCTGATGGCAGCAAGAATCAGGCTGGATCAATCACTGAATTTATAGAACTCTATCTAACAATCAGAGATTACTTGGAATGGATAGACCTTGCTGTCACAGAACTAGAAACCAAAGAGCTATTTCTTGGACATGATTGGTTAATTCAACACAACCCACTCATTAACTGAAAAACTGGATGAATTACTTTCACCCAGTGTCATTGTCAGAAAACACTATTCATACTCCCCAATGCAGACCCTGAGGACAACTGGGATGAGGAGATGACAGATGGAGAAATGATTCTTGCAGTAGACCTTGAAGAGGCACTGTGAGTGTGGGCAATTCATCATGCCAATGATCTAGCAGCCAAGGCCAACAAAGAGAAGGAGAAGAGGATGTTTGAGAAAATGGTCTCCAAATGGGCTTGGGATTATCATGACCTCTTCACCAAGAAAAGTTTTGATGAGCTCCCCACCTCTAAATCTTGGGACCACACAATTGAATTGGTGCCCAATGCTAATGCCAACCTAGACTGCAAGATGTACCCTCTAGGATACTTTAAGCCACAGGAGCTTGACAAGTTCTTGGAAGAGAATCTCTCAAGCAGACAGATATAGCCATCAAACTCTCCAATGGCATCACCATTCTTCTTTGTTAAGAAGAAAGATAGCAAACTTCAACTCATACAGGACTATTAGCAACTCAACAAGATGACTATTAAAAACTGATATCCACTTTCTCTTATATTAAAATTAATGGATAAACTCTAAGGAGCCTGATTCTATACTAAGCTGAACATCAGGTGAGGATATAATAATATGAGGATTAAGAAAGGAGATGAGTGAATGATGACATTATCTCATTGGGGTGACTCAAACTTTTGAAGTATGGACTGATCACTAAAACCTTCAATACTTCCAACTCTCTCAGAAACTCAACTGTCAGCAAGCATGATGGGTGATGAAGTTATCCAAATATCAATATACACTCCATCACAAGGCAGGATCAGCAAACAAGAAGGCCAACCTGCTCAGCTGAAGGGCTGATCATGATCAAGAGGGGGAGGACAACAAAAGAGTGGTGCTACTCAAATCAGAACATTTTCAGACCATGATAATGCTGACAGAGGAGGAGATACACAACAGGATTCAGAGCACCATACAACAGCCTAATCTATGGAATCAGGGCATAGCAACATCTCTGAACCATGAAGGCAGTATTTTCTGAAGAAATGATCTTTTCTTCTATGATGAGTGACTCTATATCTCTCAGGATCAGTCATTAAGAAGAGAGATCATAGCTATAAACCATGACCATGTAATGGCTGATCATCTAGGAATCACCAAAACAAAAGAGTTAGTGCTGAGAGAGTATGAGTGGCCAAAGATGATAAAGAATATCAAAGAATACATTAAGGGATGCAAGACATGTCAAAGGACCAAGTCCTTGACCTGGGCCTGCACAGCACTGCTACACTCAAACAAGATACCAACACAACCTTGGACTCATATCTTGGTCAATATGGCTACTGGACTTTCCAACTGCAACAGTTACAACACAATCATTGTCATCATTGATTGATTCTCCAAGGCAATCATTCTGATCACATGCCCAATAGAACTTTCCTCAGAAGGGTGGGCTAAGATACTTTATGACAAAGTATATTCTAAATACAGAATGCTCCAAGTCATTATTTTGGACTGTAGATCACAATTTATCTCAAAATTCATAGATAACTTGTATAGGTTGCTTAACATTTGCAGCAATGCCTCCACAGTCTATTATCTCCAAACAGATAGACAGACCAAACACACCAACCAAGAAATCAAAAAATATTTGTGCATGTTTATCAACTATTGACAGAATGATTGGACTGAGTGGCTAGCACTCACAGCTGTTCAGCACAATAACCATGTCCACTCTGCTACCAGCAAAACCCCTTTCTTTATTAACTATAGTTGACATCCAAATGTAGCTAAAACAACATGCCTCTATATGACAACTCCTGCTGAAGAGGATGTGAGCATGTGCAATATGAAAACAGATACAGCAGAGCATTATCCACTAACCACACTCACAGCAACACACACACAAAACTCTTAGTTTGTGAGGGGATTATAATACAATAAAAGTAGCAATCAATAAATATAATTGTCTTCTTTAATGAGATCACAGCATGCAAACAGTAATAGCATGCTTACAACAATCTGAGGTCTCTCTAAGTCTCAAAGCTTTTTGTTTTATCAAAACAAGAGGTGGCAACAGGTGTTGCTGGACCTCAAGGCAAAGGGTACTGCAACTCAATACAATACATCAAAACACTCCTTCAAAACTCTCAAATGGTCCCAAGCACAGCTCAGATCAACTCAAATCTCTAACACACACAATACATGACTCAAAGTTTCATGCTCTAAGCAAAAGAAACCAATCACAAACATGTTCACAAGTGCCAAAGAGCACAGATCTCTGTTTTCAAGCTTCTAAACCGATTGTAGACCCACAGAATTCAAACCTATGCAATTCAGAGACAGAAAACACAATAAAACACTGTCCAACAGACCAAAGGGTTTGAACCTCTGCCACCTGTAGTGCCACACATCACAAATACCTCAAAAACTCAAGATGATACCCTACAGACACCATTCTCTTATTCTCAGGTTAAAGTGCAATCCAAAACCTCTTATCAAACTGGGCTCAAATCCTTTGTGAGCTTCAATGCCTCACTTAGTTCTCACAGTGCTCTTAATAATATTAATAATCAGTTTATTCTCTTGCCTGGAGTTACTAACACAAACCCAGAGCTAGAGTGCAAGGCTTTCTGTGCCCAATACACCACAACTGTGGGGGGTCAGAAAACTCCCCTCTCCAGTCATATGATACTGTATTTAAATACTCCACTAGGATACTTACTAATACAATCCTACTATGGTATCCTCAAAGCACAGGACTCTATGCTGGATCCCACAGGTATTATTTCCATGCATATCACAGTCACCACACTTATTCTCTTCTGGGTGATGACTGTGCTTGCTGTTTCTTCACTAGCTGACATCAGCTAGCTGGCCTTGCCAGGTCTGCTCACTTTCTTATTTCTCTGGTGACATCTCTGACAGTGGTAAACTGTCCCAGACCCCCAGAGTTATTTCTCATACCAGGAGCCAGCTACAATGGCTATGTTCTGCTTCTCTGTGTCCAACCAGTCATTCCATCTGACTCACTAAAGGTGCTATTTCTTGGTATGATGTGGAGTCCCTCACTGTGTTATATGTGCTAAGGCACCATATGTATGTGTGCAAGGCTCAGGGTGGTACCTGTGCTATTCATTCCTGAAGTAATATTCCTCTACTTGTTAGCTTGTTGTCACCTATCTATTCCTCCATTCAATACCCATTACTCAGATACCTTTCTTTGGGTCTCAGTTCTCTGTTCTAAGGCATGTCCCATCAGGGCATCAATAGCTGTGCATCTTTGATCAATGTGATCAGAATTGCTGATCATATTTCAATCGTAGTCTTTTTATTTTTAGCATGTCCTCTTGTAATAGTATTGGTGCATTTAGGGCCAAGTGCTGGGACCTCACATGCAGCCTAACCCCTCTGATATTAGTCTGTTACTAGGCTATGCACTCTGCTTATTGTTACTTCAGTTTATCATTATGATAGCTAGGTTTCTGTGCACTCTAGTCCTGTTTTCTGTTACATGCTTACTGGCCTGGAATGCAGTTCATGTATTCGCAATTTTCGCAATTTTACATACCTGAACATGGAGAGGGCATGTCATATCCCCCCCACTAAGATCTGGACCTTCTATGGTCCCTTCAGTAGGTACCCATGTCTGGATTTCAATATTATCATGTTAAATTCACTGTGTTCTGTCATGGACACAATCACTGGACAATAGGACCTCCCCTGGTCCACACAGGACCAGATCCCAAGCTTCAGCAATGCTGGAACATCCAACTGAGTTGTCCACATGTGTACCTGCTTACTTGCTGCTTCTCAATGGTATGCTGGCCTGGTTTGGGCATGTACATGTCATACTTATGTAAGAAATTCTTGTATCTGACAATTTATCAGGCACAGATGCTATTCTCATGCCGTTTCTTTCTTTCTTTCCTCCCACTTCACTCTTTCAATGTCTTCTGCACTGTTTCTCTAGCTTCTCTTACTATGATGACCTTTGTCTCTTTGCTCACTATTCCTGTGACTACTCTCATGGCTAATCTCATTGGTGCCTATGCCTTCACAGCTGCATACTTCAATTCTTCTGTTGTGAATATTGTGGAGCCACAGGATCTTGTCATTGCTGTTAACCAGGTGACTCCTTACTTGGTGCATGCTTACTTTCCACTCATTAACTCACCATTCATGCCTACTTTGCCTCTGTAGGCAGCATATCATGTCAGTCTTATGCATGTTGACCTGCATGACTCCAACTATGGTGTGTCCTTTCATCTAGAGCTTGCCAAGCTCATTCAGCATATCCCTACCCATCTCCAATGCAAGGAGTGGAAAGCTTAGGCACTTACAGAGGTGGAGCATAAGAATTCCTCAGTATGTCCCCTTATTTCTCAGCCTGCTTCACTCACTCATATTTCCCTCATGCTAGTGGGACTATGACGCTTCTCTTCTTCTGCCTGAAGAGCCAGGTTATAAGGATGGGAATCCATCCTCTATTCCCTACCGGCTCCTGCTCTCTTCATATGCTATCTCTCCCCCCCCTGCTCCAGTGGTCATTGGCCCTACTGCCTTAGTCCCCAAAGTTGTAGAACCTGAGACTAGCTCATCTAGGTGAGTTTTGATCTTTGTTGCTCTTCTGTATCTCTGTTAGCTCATACTATTGCCCTACTTGCAGAGTCCCCCAGCTGACACCTATCAGGACCCCCCAGATTTCAAGAGAACCTAGTAAGTTGTGCTCTGTCTCTCTCCTTCTTACTGTAGCTTCTTTCCTTTTTCTAGGTTTCCCTCCTGTTACTAAAAATACTATCTCTATGGTTCTTCCAGCTGTCTGTTCTGGCTCAGTAGGTTATCCCTTTTTCATATCTGGATTTTCACCTTCTCATCATCTTTGCCTTTGCAGAGGGCCACAGTGGTTTGTAAATATCAGCAGGAGACAGGAATCCTGGCTCCTGTAGGTCAATCTTCCTTATTCCTCTTTGTCTGTGCTCATTTCTTCTCTCTTTTCCTAGACTGTACCTGCCCCTGTCTCTAAGAGGGCCAAGCCTATCCCATACATTGTTTATATTGCCTTCAGCCATCTTCAGCCATATTCCCCTCCTCTTCCATTTCCCTTAGTGTGGCTAGCTCATCTCAGTCTTGCACACAGCCTCTGGTACCTCTTTCCTCAGTTTTCCAGACCACCTTCCAGTGGAAGCCAATTCCTGGCTCTCTTGAATTCCCTGTTCCATCTGGTGTGTTCTTTCATTCCTTCTCTATAGGTTTTCCTTATTCTCTGGTTGATATTGTCTTTCAGCTCTATCCATTGATCATGATACCAGTACTCCTTCTGCTGTGAAGAGCAATAGGCCTGCTGGCTCTTCTCCATGCTCAGTCAGCACCTCTGATCCTGCTAGTGAGGGTCCTGAAGGTGCTCCCATGGAGGCTGTTCCTTCAGCTCTAGACAGCCTGTTATCTCCTTCTCCTCATGCATATCATTCTCTGACCAGTGAGCCTTTCCCTGGTATCACTTATCTTGCCTTTCCAGCCCCTCCCAAACCTGCTTCTCCTCCTCCTACACATGTGTCTTCTCAATGCAAAGGGATGACAGTTCTGGTGGCCTCTGGAAAGCCTCTCTGCTCTCAGTGTATGCAGCAGTCTATTCCCACAGTTTCCAAAGCTCCTGCCAATATGACTGCAAGAGAAACTGTTGACCATACCATTTATGCATGTGTCTTTCACCTGGCCATTGATCTCCAGTTCCATGAACCTCCTTCCCACTAGGCCCTAGAATCCATGAAGCTTTCTATGCTTCCTGTCACTCCTGACTCTTTGACCAAGTGAGTCCTTTCTTTCCGTTTTTCATTCACATTCTGATTGTATTTTCTTTATAGACCACCTGCATGATTGTGCAGTGGCCAGGAATATGTCTACCATTGTCATTCCAATAAAAATCCTTATTTTGTCTGTTCTCCTTTGGTATGTTTGTCTTTTCCATTCCTCATTCTGTTCTTATTTCCTCACTCACTAGCTTTCCTGGCCATGCTTTAACTGCACTTTGGCTGGTTTTCCTGAGGAGTGCATTTTTGAGGGTAGAGTTGGTGAGGAGATCTGTATGCACTGTAGATCCACTTGTCATGGCCATTGCTCTGCATGCTGGGATGCCAATCAGCTCTGTCATGCCACTACCTTATTGGATCCTCTCATTCTCAGTGGTGATAGTGGTATGTCTTTTCCATTCTCTGTTCATTTCTGGTCTGCCTGATTGTCTTGCTCTTAGCTATTCATCATGGCATTGACCATATCAAGTGTATCAAGGTCAAGATCAAGCTGCTCATGAGGTCTCTTCAGCTCTTGTATGAGGACTGGCAGCAGGTTGTAGGCAAGCTTACTGATGGTCTTGATGCTATTGCTTCTTGTGAGCATGATATTGAGATCATCAAAGCTTATGCACAAGTCTCTGATCTCCTCAAATCTTTCTTGGTATGTCCTGGTTCTAAGGATGCATCTATCAATGGGGATGCCATGATGTCTAGCTCTGACACTGAGTAAAGCCCAGTACCTCTCTTAACACATCTTGAGTGCTTGTACTTCTTTTTGTTTCCTTTCTTCACACTATGTTTTCTTGTAGATGTTCTTCTTTATTTATAGCAGCACTCAGGGTCTTTAGATGCAGCCAGTAGTAGTGCTCTGTTCATAGCTCATTGTCATGTTGTGCACTCTTTTTCTTGCAGGCCTGTAGGGCTCTAGTATACCAATATATCTCTTTTGTTGCACTCTTTTTGATTTTGGCTGAGCCTGAGTTTCATATTTCAATCTCTCTGGCTTATGAGAGCCTTGATTACTATGTTGGGCTCATACCTGAGTCTCACACATCGGTATTCTTTATTCATTATTTCTCCTTTTCTGTCATTTCATAAGCTGTCCCATTGCTCTCTTTCAACCTGTTCTTCTTATTTCCTTGGTGGAATGTCAGTATCATTGCATGTTGACTCTCCTTTAACTGTCTGGATCTGTCACTGCTATCAATAATTTGATTTTCTGTCATTATTCCATTATTTCTTTTTCATTCTTCTGTTTCTATGCCTAGCAGGGCTTGCAATCACAAAATTTACTGTCTCTGTTATGGTAATACCCTAGGTATACCACTATATCCCCCACACCAAAAGCATCTAACTGTCTTCAGTTATAATTCAAATGACAATTCATTTATTTTATAAGGCCAGATCAGGTTTTTGAGTCCTGCACATGTCAAACATTAGTTTTCTGAGCTCAGCACCCTTAATGTCTGTCCTTTCTCACAGAATTTCTTTTTCTGTTATTATTTTCCTGATCAAATATTATTATCACATGGGTATAAAGGTTAAGGGTTTTTCATCTTGTTTTGACTCCACTCACTCACCACCTCTCTTATTGTTTTCACTGTTACTTGTCCATTTCTTCTCCATTCTCTGTCAAAATGATCCCTACTTTCATTGTTGTGAAGGCTGTCATCATATCCCTCTGCAAGGATCCTGCTACTACTGTGAATGATCATTTTGATCAACTTCAGGAGTATACCATATGTGTTTGTGCATTATTCCTGCTATTTTACTGACTTCTACATGATAGTCTCATCTTGAGCATTATAAAAGTGAGCTCACCAGGGATAAGGACATCAAGGAGTCAGTTTTTCATGCTTGCACTGCTATTGAAAAGGAATTCCATACCAATGCTTCCAAACAGCCTATCCATAAGGTGCTCAAGACCATCACTGGATGAGTTCAAAGCAAGTGAGGTCAGCTTGCAGATGGTGGGCCAGGTGCTCCTTCCATTCTGACTGGCCCTTGTTGTGACCCTAAGTCAGTTTGTAATCATTTTCTCTGTTTAATAGTTCTTCTGACTGATTTTCTTCTGCTAGGCCAGAGTCATTGCATGCAATAAGGGCAAAGGCCATGCTATTCGTTGTTCTCATGTCACTATTGATACTGAGTCTGATGATGATGAGAATGACCCAGACAAGGTAGCAGTCTATTCTGATTCTGATACTGAGTCTATTAAAGTATGCCTAGTCTTTATGATCTCTGCTTGACTATCTGATGTCCAATCTCCTCAAGATAGTCATTGATAAGGAGGCCTCCAGAGCTGGGCAGTTTCTGAAGTTTTCTAAGGCTAGGTCTAGCAATGTGGTTACTGAAGACAAGCCTAAGGAACCCTACAAGGTCAGAGTATTTGCATGTTATCGGTGTCCCCTTCACTTAAGAGATTGTAATTCTAGGAAGAGCTGTCTTCCTGTGTGCATTGTGGTGCCAATAGTCATTCTTTTGCTGATTGCTCCAACAAGGGTCAGGTATGTTGTCTCCTTTTCTTACCTACCACTTGTGTTTCTGACCAGTAAAGTGGCTCAGGCAACTTCCCAAAGGTTTATCAGCAAAGATGGTGCTTGCACTTGCAAGTGCACTAAGCCATCATTCCTGCTTCTATCAGCCTGGGAGTATTTCCCTCATGGTTCTCATGGGATCAGAGAGCAGCATCCTGTCTCAGCTCTTGGACTTGTTAGTGCCTGTATGTATCTCTTTTTCATTGCTCGCTATGTCATTTCTTAATTGTGCTCTTCATATTTTCAGTTGCTGACAATGAGGGAGCTGCTCCTAGTGTTGATACTTTGTGTGAGAGTTATAAAGGATTGGCCATGGGTCATTTCATGGTGGAGAGACCTGAGCATCTGGCCAAGCTTGAGAGTGCCCTCATAGGTGATGTCCTCATGCTCCAGCACACTCTATACACTGCCAAGAAACAGTGTGCTTTCCTCCTTGATGAACTTGAGCACATCCAGTCTGCCCTTCATCCCTCAGTTCCAGTGCCAGCAGACTCTGGAGATCCTGCTCCTGTGGAGACCAAGACTCCTTCCACTCCTTCCACCTCATTTAACATGGAGCCTCCATCTGCCTGATCCCAGGGCAGTAGTGGTACTCAACATCTATGATACTCATCCATCATCTGGTCATCCCTTACTGGTTTGTCATGATCTCTTATTCTCCTTTTCTGTCTTTGACTCCAATGTAGCACTCTTTTTAAATCTTCTCACATCGCAAGTACAGTAGCTAGTGCTGTACATCCTGTCATTACTTAGTAATTATATGCCTGCAGAAGGTGTTTCTGTATTCTGCACTAATCCTCATCTAAGTTAACTGTGTCTGACACTTTTAGAGTTAGTGATTCTTCGAACTCTTCAGTGAAGTTCGATGGCCATCTGTCTTTTAGTTCTGGTGACTCTAATATCTTTTGCAATTCTTTTGAATCTTTGCACAGCCAGTGCATGACCTTATCATCAATTTCTATAGAATTGCATGCGAGGTATGGGATCATGTGGAATGCTGCAATCTTTGAACCAATTAGCGCACCATCTAGTTCTGCCAGGATGTAGTTTCCTGCACTTGAGTGGTCCAGTACAACTAAGGGACCTAGATACCATGGTTTCATCTTTGTATTCAGTGTGCTCTCAATCTGTGTATTGCGCATTAGAACTAAATCCCCTCATTTGAAGTTATAGGACTTAATTTTATTTGCATGCATAGTCGCATACTTTAATGTATCTTGTTTCTTTTTCTCATCCATATGATTGCACATCTCTGCTACCTTATCTGCATGTTTCTCTAGTGCTATTGCATGCAATCCACAGAGTTCCCAATCCTCTATAATTCTCCTTGGATACTCAACTAGCCATGTTGCTTCTAGCACATCAAGTGGTAATATTGGATGTGCACTAGTAACCACAAAGAAGGGAGAGCATCCCATCCGTTTTCTGACAGTGATTCTATCAGCCCACATCACTAGCATGAAGTAGTAATGCCACTTTTTCTCATTTCCACCACATGCTTTGAATAAGCTCTGCCACACATCCCAGTGTGGTTACTCTATCCTTCCATTGGTCTGGGAGTTGTATGGAGATATCCTTATCCCCTTTATACCATATTTCCATTCCAAATATGCCACTGCAGCTTTGAATTGCTTGCTATTATCCGTTATTATCAAGGAAATACAGCCCCACCAGCATATGATATCTTCAAATAACCACTCTGCGATTGCCTGTGCAGTTTCACTTGCTAAGGTTCATCCTTCTATCCAGCTAGTTAGCATGCAATGCCCATGCACAATATACTTGTGATAGTTGGATGCCTCTGGCATGTGCATTGTGTCTGCATGTAATACCTGAAAGATTGATAGTGTAAAGATCACTGTTGAGGGTGCCTTGATGATGATCTTCTGGTGCTCCTGGCATATGTTGCAAGTGCTAACAAACCATGAGATATCCTGCTCCATCTCTGGCCACCAAAATCTCTCTTCAATCAACATTTTCATTGCATATATATCTTGGTGTCCAAGCTGATTATGTGCAGCTTTCATTATATACATTCTCCTCTCTGGGTAGATAACTAGCTTATATTCTGGCTCTATATCTCATCTATATAGCTTTCCTTTATCCACCATGAAGTTCTTTGCATACCTTATGAAGTTCTGGTATTGATTATCATTAAATCCAGATATCCACATGGTAGGGTTCTCATACCACTGAATTACCTGTGGCAATTGCTTATCTAGTATCTTTGCATACCTGCTCCTTCATGATTCATCATAACTCACTATGTCACTGTACTTGGCAGCCTCAGAAAGCAGTAGTCTCATGTTATATAGTATGGCATGTGTTTCACCATGCTCTAAGGCTTCCTGTATTACTTTGTCTTCATGGAAGTCATCTACTGCTCTGGTAACTATTACAAAGCCATGCCAGATGTCAATTCTCTCTTTAAATTCTGCAATGTCTTCTACCTCATCTTCAGTCTTATTGATGAATTCCCATGGTTCCTCATCTGGTGGACTATATTCATCTTCTGGATTGGAGTATTCTTCATCTCTTGGCTGGAAACTATGCCTAGATAATCCATCTAGTGCATGTCTCTCACCTGAGATATATACCAATGTGAAGTGGAACATCAGAATAGACTCTATCCATCTGTTTATCACAGCATTAGGAACCTCATCAGAGTTTCTAAGCATTCCAGCAATATATTTCACATCTGTCTCTACCATCAATTTTCTCACTCTAAAGAGCCAATGTCAGTAAGCATGCAGTGCTCTGAATAGCCCATAGAGCTCCCGTTTTGGCTGTGAAAAGTGTGCTTCCTGCTCATTTAAAACAATGGAACCAAAGCATGCATATCTCCTTTGCTTTGGGTTATCTGGATTGACTTGACAGATATAGAATCTGACTGCATGGTATGATGTGTCTACTCCCAATATCACATCTGTGTCCAGTTCATAATCAATTGGCATCAAAGATGGGCTAGAGTGCAATGCATCCTTCAATATCTGCATTGATTCTCTCTGCTCATCTCCAAATTCAAATGGTACTTTTAAGCGAGTTAACCTTGTCAAGGCATCTGCTTTCTTGGCATAATCTTTAATGAACATCCTGTGTACTCTCACTGTTCCCAGGAAAGAGCACACATCTCCTAAGTCTTCACATGGTCCCCATCGCATTATCACTCCTACTCTGTCTGTTTCGGGTTTTCTGCCTTCATAGGTGCAACGGTGTCCCACAACCATGATCTCTGACGCACAAAGGACAGCTTTATGACCAGAGAAAGTTCCTCCAGCATATTTCATGCGCTGTACAACACGGTTCATGTTCTGGAAGTGCTCCCACACAAATCTGCGAATACCTCGGTTTTCCTTGATAGTTTCATATCCCTCATCTTTAATTTCATAGTATGTTTTTGGTCCTCATACTGGAATATCATCTACATATGGTATAGTGATGTGGGGTACTTCATCCTTCAATATATAAGTCACATCATCATGAAATATTGGTACTGAGTTTGTCCATCCCATAGGCAATGTCACAAGTCTTAGCATGCCAAATGGTGTTTGGAATGTGGTAAGATCTCTAGATCTCTCATCTAAGGTTCTCTTATCATATCCTACATAGAGATCCAATGTGCCTCCACAGGAATGTCCTGCAAAGTGCTCTGCTAGCTTATCTGTCACTGGAGGCACTCCTGAGTGCTTGATCATGACTGCATTCAAGGGTTCCAGGCTATGGACTAGCCTCAGGCTCTTTCCATCTTTCTTAACCACACAAAACCAACATGAGCAATAAGAGGAGTTCAATGGCTCATACACTCCAGCATCAATTTTGGTTTTTATTATCTTGCATACCTGATCAAATATTCCTGGTGGAATCGGTATGTTCTTCTGTATCCAAGGAGTATGCTCTACAGCTGGGATGGTCACTGGCAGAAAGTACTCCTCCTTAAAATGGCCTTGCTCAGTATCATCCCAGGAAAATCCCTTGCTCTGCAGGCACATAAACTCATGCATAAGCTTGTGCTCTTCCAGCCACAGAAAGTCTTCTGAGTGGACTCTGTTGATTATCTCTTTGTGCTCTTGGGTGTACCTTTCTATTGGTATATATTCTGGTGGATGGGTACTCAATTGAGGCATGCTCACTAAGGGGTCTCCTCTGATTTCATGCACAATGTGGAACTCTGATGGTAATCCTCCTGTAATAGGTCATATCTTTTGTGCTACTGGCTTATATTTCTTTGTCACAAAGACGTCTTTTACAGATCCTACTGCTAGTGGAGAATACTCCATGCTGACTTTATCAAAAAGTTTAACTTCCATGCATCGCTCAGAGCTCGCTTTGCATTGTACCTTGCTTACATTCCATGCAATGTCCCTCACACATGTCTCTGCATCTCTGTCCTGTCTTTTCATGTCTTCTATTTCTTTAAGCACCCTAAAATACAAGAATAAAGTCCCACATGCCTTTGTATCCTTGCCATGCATCATCAAGCTCATGATAGTATATACTGCCTGTAATTCTTCTTTCACAAATACATGTGATTTAGTGGATTTTGTGTATGTGCTGATCATCAGATCACTATCTTGATCAGGTTCTATTATTAGTGCTAAATCTCCTTGATCATTAATCAAATCATCAATCATTAAAAACCCTTGCTTACTTTGTGCATCATAAACTTCTTCTGTCTTCTAGGGAATATTGATACCATCGCACATCATGTGGAGTTAGGATTCTTTATCTTAATAGTCTGTCCTCCATCTGCTGTGTTATATATCATACTTGTTGTTAGTGCATCAAAAGGTCTACCAAGCAATACATCATAGGCAGGATCCTTGATGATATGTACTTGTAGATATACTGTGATATCACTGAACAAGAATGGGATATTCTTTGCCATCCCAAGGGACTTCTCTACTTGCTTATTTGCAGATTGCATATTTATTACTTTGTCTGGGTCATATATCAATCCCAGGCTCTCAGCTACTCGGCTAAACATTGACACAATCTGTGAGCCTGTATCATACAAGCTTTCAAACTGCTCTACACCATTTATAAAAGAAAAGACAGAGCACAAAGCCTGTGAGTCTTTAGCTATATAGACCTGCTTTGGAACTTCTCCTTTCTCTGTGGCATCATTCAGATATTGCTCAAAAGGGTCTTATCAGACCACTGCACCTTTGGGAACTCTATTGCTGACCTCAGTGGTCACCACAAAGTTTCCTTTAAATGGGACCTCTGATAAGTATACTGCATCCTTTGGTAATCCAGTTCTCTTATCATCAGTTGTCTCTGCAAAAGGAAGGGCCTCGGTGACTCTGTCTTCACTCTCTGACTCTGATTCTTCCTCTATGACTAGCCCAAACTGTTGCTTGCCATTTTTCATGGATTTACCTAGGGATACTTGTTTCATGGTCAACTCTTCTTTAACCACACTGCCAACCTTTGACAGAGCAAGCAATTCTCCAACCATCATGGCTATGAGGGACTTCATGAGTTGCTCCAATACCTCAGGTGAGTTCATGTGCTCTTCTACTGGTGCTTTCAACTGGTAAGCCGCCGATTTCTCCTCAGCCACATAGAGCACAAACCCTGTCTTCTTGGGCCATTTCCTTGATGGATCTCCCTTTCTATCCACATTGATAATATCTGGAACATTGAGATATGGCATCTCTGGTTCTGGAGTTAGACTGCACACAGTCAGTATGGTCTTGGGCATGGGATCCAGCCGCACTTGCTTTTTGCTCATTGTCTTTGATGGAAATTCTACTTCAGAATCATCTGGTGTATCCTCTACTACCTCAGCTCTAGCCACTCCTCTCTGTTTTTTGTTTCTTACATCCTCTGGGGGTGATGGTGAATCTGACCTGGAAACTCCATGAGTCATTGTATGATTCCTGCCCTCCTTCATTGAACACCTAGAAAAACCCTGCTCCCTGTCCTCATCTGATGGTTCTTGCTCCACTGGTTCATCAGGTGGTGGCCCCTTATTGTGAGTCTGCTGCATTCTCATTGCAAACACCTGGCACTCCAGTTCCTGTTTTTCTTGCAATAGCACACTATAACTCCCTGGGACATGGAACAGCTCTGGAGTGTCTGTAGCATTTATCACCATATTCTGGCTCTGCAACTTGCCAGCTTTCATGCATGCATAGTATTCATCAATGTGCTCCTTCACATATTGCTCTCTAATATCTTTGGGTACCTCTCCTCCATCTGGTAGTCATGCTCTTCCATCAACCATCTCTATTTTTCCAGCCTTGATGTATGAGGCTTTCATAAGGCACTCACTCAAGCAGTGCCCATCTGTATCTCAACAGAAAAAGCATGCACACAAGTAATTCTGTCCATATCCCATCACCTCTGGGCCTAAATTATATGCTGGTGCTTGCATTCTGTTAGCCTGCTGCTGCATGAACATCATGAGACTCTTCTGGTTCTCCATCATAGCTTTTTCTAAGCTCATGAGCCTTTTATCACTTGCAGAGGTCTGCTGTTCCATTAAATCCTTCATGACAGCAAGCACACTCCTGATCTCTTCCTGTTTCACACCATGCTCTTCTACTACAGGTAAATTATGTGCAGCTATAGTTGACTGATGCTGTTTGTGTGCTATCGATATTGAGGTTGAGATACCTCATGTCTCATCTCACTTTTTGTCCATAGATGAGAATACACCTTGCAGTGCTGTTAGTCCAGCATCCATGATCTCTTTTAGTTTGTAGGGATCAGCATTATCTCATCTTGTCAATCCTGTGGATGGTGGTAACTGCTCTAGCTGTAGCTTAATGGACCTGTACAGCTCATCAGACATAGGTGCAAGGAATGAATCCACCAGTTCTCTGTTTGATAGTACTTTGTTTAGCACAGATGCAAGTACTTGGAATTCTCTTTTGAATGCTGTGAACTGACTCTTATCATTAATCTGGGCTATATCATAATGATGTACTAGCCTTTTGAGTTCTAACATTGCATCTCTATCACTGTCCTGCACACCATCATAACAGTCTAGTACTTCAGATTTAAAGTCATCATATTTTTCACCAGCAGCAAAGCTAGAAAGCACTTTCCACTGGCGCTCTGTCTTGATATCTGTATAAGATATCGCTGCTTTCTTTTTCTCCTCATCATCATTGACCACACACTTGTCAAAGAGGTCTTCTAATCTCAAGAAGAAGTGCTCAAGTTTCTCGGGATCTGAGGAACTCTCAAAGCATGGTGTAGCTTTTTCATTTGGTCCTGGCATTGATAGTGCTATGGTTGCAAACTCAGCATTAGTTGAGATAGTCAGATCTGGATTTTGGTTTAAATTAGGTTGTGAGTTCAAAGTAGAGGATGGTACAGTTTCTGAAGAGTTATCTTCACTGGGGTTGATCCAATGTCAAAAAAGACTAAACTCAGGATCAGAAACTGAAATGGGCTGTGATCCTGCTTCACTCCTGTGTTCCTGTGCAGTGAGCTCTGTTCCCAAAGTATTCTGACTCCATGATCACGAGATAAGAGGGTAAATTGGTGGCAGATGTATTCCACTTGCCACTTTCTCTGCTCTAATCCTTGGCTCTCAAGTTTGGTTGATTCCAGCTATTCTGACTCTTAATAAGTATTCACACCACTGGGAAAATCACACAATGCTGAAGAGGATCTGAGCATGCACAAGGTGAAAACAGATACAGTAGAGCATTATCCACTGTCCACACTCACACCAACACACACATAAACTCTTAGTTTGTGGGGGGATTATAATATGATAAAAGTAGCAATCAACAAATATAATTGTCTTCTTTAATGAGATCAGAGCATGTGAACAGTAATAGCATGCTTACAACAGTCCAAGGCCTCTCTTAAGTCTCAAAGCTTTTTGTTTTATCAAAACAAGAGGTGGCAACTGGTGTTGCCAGGCCTCAAGGCAAAGAGTACTGCAACTCAATACAATACATCAAAACACTCCTTCAAAACTCTCAAATGGTTCCAAGCATAGCTTAGATTAACTCAAAATCCCCAACACACACAATATATGACTCAAAGCTTCATGCTCTAAGCAAAAACCAATCACAAACATATTGACAAGTGCCAAAGAGTACAGATCTTGGTTCACAAGTTTCCAAACCGATCATAGACCCACAGGATTTAAACCTATGTGATCCAGAGACACAAACACAATAAAACCCTGTCTGACAGACCAAAGGGTTTGAACCTCTGCCACCTGTAGCACCATGCATCACAAATACCTCAAAAACTCAAGATGATGCCCTTCAGACACTGCTCTCTTATTCTCAGGTTAAAGTGCAATCCAAAACCTCTTATCAAACTGGGCTCAAGTCCTTCGCGAGCTTTGATGCCTCACTTAGTTCTCACAGCACTCTTAATGATATTCAATAATAAGTTTATTCTCTCACCTGGAGTTACTAACACAAACCCAGAGCTAGAGTGCAAGGCTTTCTGTGCCCAATACACCACAACTGTGGGGGGTCAGAAAACTCCTCTTTCAGTCATACAATACCATATTTAAATACTCTACTATGGTACTTACTAATACAATCCTATTATAGTATCCTTAAAGTGTAGAACTCTATGCTGGATCCCACAGGTATTATTCACATGCATATCGCAGTCACTGCACTTATTCTCTTCTGGGCAATGACTGTGCCCACTGTTCCTTTGCTAGCTGACATTGGCTAGCAAGCCTCACCAGGTCTGCTTGCTTTCTTATTTCCCCAGTGACATCTCTGACAGCAGTAAACAGTTCCAGACCCACAGAGTTATCTCTCATGCCAGGAGCCAGCCACCATGGCTATGTTCTGCTTTCCTATGTTCAATCAGTCATTCCATCTGACTCACCAAAGGTGCCATTTCTTGGTATGATGTGGAGTCTCTTGCTGTGTTATATGTGTGAAGGCACCATATGTATGTGCATAAGGCTCAGAGTGGTATCCATGCTATTCATTCCTGGGGTAATATTCCTCTACTTATTACTTTGTTATCATCATTCTATTTCTCTGTTCAATACCCATTACTCAGATACCTTTCTTTGGGTCTCAGTTCTCTGTTCTAAGGCATGTCCCATCAGGGCATCAATAGCTGTGCATCTTTGATCAATGTGATCAGAATTGCTGATCATATTTCAATCGTAGTCTTTTTATTTTTAGCATGTCCTCTTGTAATAGTATTGGTGCATTTAGGGCCAAGTGCTGGGACCTCACATGCAGCCTAACCCCTCTGATATTAGTCTGTTACTAGACCATGCACTCTGCTTATTGTTACTTCAGTTTATCATTATAATAGCTAGGTTTCTGTGCACTCTAGTCCTGTTTTCTGTTACATGCTTACTGGACTGGAATGTGGTCCATGTATTCGCAATTTTCGCAATTTTACATACCTGAACATGGAGAGGGCATATCAGCATGCTGTGATCTCATTGAAGAAGACAATTATATTTGTTGATTGCTACTTTTATCACATTATAATCCCCCACAAACTAAGAGTTTTATGTGTGTGTTGGTGTGAGTGTGATCAGTTGATAATGATCTGCTGTCTCCATTTTCACCTTGTGCACACTCAGATCCTCTTCAGTGCAATCCAAAACCTTTTATCAAACTGGGCTTAAGTCCTTCATGAGCTTCAATGCCTCACTTAGTTCTCACAGCTCTCTCAAGAATGTTCAATAATATGTTTATTCTCTCACCCAAAGTTACTAACACAAACTCAGAGCTTAGAGTGCAAGGCTTTCTGTGCCCAATACACTACAACTATGGGGGTTGGAAACTTGTCCTCTACTCATACAATACCATATTTAAATAATGTACTATGATACTTACTAATACAATTCTACTATGGTATCCTTAAAGTGCAGGACTCCATGCTGGATCCCATGAGTATTATTTGCATGCATATCACAGTCACTGTGCTTATTCTCTTTCAGGCAAGAACTGTGTCCACTGTTTCTTTACTAGCTGATATCAGCTAGCTGGTCTTGCCAGGTCTGCTTGCTTTCTTATTTTCTCAGTGACACATTCCTGACAGTAGTAAACTGTTCTAGGCTCCCAGAGTTTTCTCCCATGTCTGGAGTCAGCCACAATAGTTATATTCTCTTCTCCAGTGTCTCAACATTCTCTCTGACTCATAAATTGCACTACTTTTGGCCTGACATGCATTAACTAACTTATCTAATATGGTATGTGTCATACCATAATATGATGTGGAGTCCTTCACTGTGTTAATCACACTAAGGCACAGTAAGTATATGTGCAAGTCTCTGAGCAGTACACATGCTATTCATCTCTGAGGGTAGTATTTCTCTATCTATTCCTTTGTTGCTATCATGTTATTTTTCTGTTTAGCACCCAGTTATTCAGATACCTTTCTTTCAGTCTCAGTTCCCTGTTCTAAAGCATGTTCTCTCAGTGTATCATTGATCAATGTGATCAGGATTGCCAATCATATTTTGATCATATCTCTTTTATTTTTAGCATACCTTCTTGTAATAGTATTGGTGCATTTAGGGCCAAGTGCTGGGACCTCACATGCAGTCTAACCCCTCTGGTATTAGTCTGCTACTAGGCCATGCACTCTACTTCTTGTTACTTCAGTTTAGCATTATGATAGCTAGGTTTCTGTGTGCTCTAGTCCTATTTTCTGTTACATGCTTACTAGCCTGGAATGCAGTCCATGTATTCACAATTTTTGCAATTTTACATGCCTGAACATAGAGAGGGCATGTCACTGCATCCACTGATTTTGCCACAAAGATGGCAAAAATTCACCTCAAAACAGAAACAGCATTATAAAAGGCCACTGAAGCCATAAAAATACAATATGACAAACATTGATGACCAGCACATTCATATGACATAAATGATAAAGTCTGGCTTGATACAACAAATCTCCACCTTCCACATCTAAAATGAAAACTTGATGCCAAGCATACTGGCCCCTTCACTATCACCTCCAAAGTCAGAAGCTCTGCCTACAAACTCAAACTGCCATCACATTGGTGAATCCATAATACCTTCAACAAAACTCTTCTTATTTCATTCATGATTCTCATCTTCTCAAACCAAGAAAGACCACCACCACCACCAGATCTAATTGACAATGAAGAACATTATAAGGTCAATCAAATACTCCATCACAAAATATGATAGATACATAAATATGGTGGTGGTATGACCACTATAGTCAACTATCTGGTCAGCTGGAAGAGTTATGGTCTAGAATCCAACCAATGAGTCAATGAATGTCACATAAACATTGCTGATGCAATACACAACTATAAACTATCACTAAATTGACCACATGATGGGTTAATGTCTTCATGAATCTTCTGAGAAGAAGAGCAGGTTAACTGGTCCAAGGATGCCTCCACTTATCTCTAAATTAAGCCATCAGGATGATGGTCTTAAGGAGGAGGTAATGTTATGATTTCTCCATCTTTTATTTCTTTTTTCACAGTATTAACTCCTATTTATGCTTAGTCAGAGTGTCTATGCCAGTGTCTAGAACCATGAGATAGCATTAGAACCATGGGGATGTTTGGATTAGCACAGCCCTCTGCAATCTGAAATATGAAGTGAAGCCCTGACACAAGACAATCAACCTATTGTAGATAACCATGATGCTCTAAGACAGTGAGTACTATAGCACAGACACTTATAATTAGCAGTACTATATTTATCGAGGAGACAAATAGTATATAAGTAGCATAGCTAATGACATGTATCTCTAGTCTCAAATTATCCTTTATTCTACTGCTTCACCTTGAGTCAACTACTTGCATTGAGCTTGGAATATAACATCTATAAACACACCAGTGGACTTAAGTGTGATTGTACAAGTGCAATACAGTGCTTCTTTATCACATGTTTTAGAGCACATGTCACTTGAGCTTAACACATCTTCTCAAAAATCTTCTCTTCCTTTGTTGCATTTGCATTTGCTGCTAGATCATTGGCATGATGTATGATGCAAAGATGTAGTGTCTGCTGAATGTCAATGGCAAAAATAGTTTCTCCATCTTCCATTTTCTCATTTCATTGATCCTCCAGATCTTCATCTGGTAATTCAAAGAGGATTGTAGTGTATTAATCAGTCATAGCCCAAGAATATTTCTTTAGTCTCCAGTTCAGTGATAGCTAAGTTGATCCATTCAGAGTGATTGCTAATTATTAGCTATAGCTCAACAAATTCAGTGATCAAGCCAGCTTGATTCTTTGTTCTGTCAGCATTGTATATGGGGATGGAGGCTGCTGT